ATATCCAGTGTGCAATTTTGATAAATATTAACTTTTTAAAAATTTAAAGCGGGAAAATACATTTTTCAGTTTAATCTTTTTCTTTTTAAAGAGGTTTGTTTTTTAGTAGAGGAGACCGAGGCAACAAAAAGTTTATCCACCCTCTTTCTGAACATCGATGACGTAACCTCTGCTTTACATAGAAACTACAAAAACAGATCAGGCATTTTGCCTACTGAGCTGTGTTTATAGGTTCCCAAGACACCAAAAGCCAGTGGAGCGATCAAGACAGCAAACAGGAAAGGAAACCTTTCCATCCTGTCTGCTCTTTCCATGGCCATAAAACCTGCCAACATGCACCGTTGGTCCAGCATCACTAGGCGGCAAACCTCTGTGAATAGAGAGAGATTCAACTTGGAGCCAACACTGCTGAGCTGGCACCAGGTCAGAGTTCCTGTGTGGTTGGATCAGCCACCAGCCTCTGCCCCCGGTGCTCTCAAACTCTGAATTTTCCTCTGATTGCCTGTTGTTTCTAGCATATTTAATCGCCTTTTATTATTAAAAGCAGTACATATGCATTGCAAAAACTATTACAAAATTTAGGTAGACAAAAATAAAAGCAACGCCTACCATCCAGAGAATGGTATTGTAACCTCTTTGTTCTTATCTTTCTGGATCTCTATATACTCATACACCCACATGTAAGATAAGATTGTGTTAGAATACAGTACCTGCTCTCTGGTGCAAGATACCCCAGCTTCGCTTTGTGTCTTCTGTGCACCAGGCCCGAAATCAGACATTTCTCTAACGCTTGCTGCTTTCTTCTAGTGGGAGATGATACTGGAGTCCATGATGTGGATGTTCTGGGATGCTCATTGCTGCTGATGTGGCATCGTTCCTAGACCATTTTAATGGACAAAGCTAGGATTTTTCAATTGTGAATGCTGTTAGCACTGACACTGATTTTAACTCCAAAGTGTTTTCACTAATTTATTTGACTTCTTACCCTGAAAATCTTATCTAATTAACATTTTCAAAGTTGTTTGAGATATAATGTATCTGCCATAAAATTCTCTCTTCAAGTGTTCTCAATGATCTTTAGTATATATACGGTTGTATGACCATCACGTTGTAATTTTAGAATATTTCCATTACACCGAAAATGAATCTTGTGCCCATCATTTTCCTCTTCCTAGCCTCTTCCTAGTTGTGGCAGCCAGGAACTGCTGTGTTACTGAGCAGGAACTGAGTGTCTGAGGAACCCTGATCTTTATTTGTCCTGTTCAGAGTCTCTGTGGAGCAGGACACTTAGAAATGTTAGTGGGCGCTGCTGAATAACTTCAGCTGTGCGTCTGGTATAGCTCTTCCAGAATACCCGGCTAAGGGTGGGCAGATGAGTGCTGCAGTTTTCTAAAGCTTTCCTGCCCACCTGGCATAGATCTTCAGCAGTAGGAAAGTGGAAAGTTGGGCACTTTCCTGGCTGCCACAACTGCCCAGAACAGTTCTTCTAACAGCATGGAGGTAGAGATAATAGATACAGCCCATGGCTCAAATGTTACAGTCTCTCATTAAATAAATGCTTCTAACTTCCTTGTATGCTTATTAGGTCAATTTCCAGAGGCTTTACATTGTTGTCTTAGATAACTTTGGCCATACTGAAACTCAAGATTTTACTCATTTGCTTTTTAACTTACAATATAAAGAAAATGAGTGCAAAGAATCAAATGCAGTTATTTACAAGTAATAAGACTACTGAATATAGTTTAAGTATTCTTTATGTGCCGTTTCTTCAAACTGGAGCCACTTTAGGGCAGGGCCTGTGTCACATTCATTTCCATCTCTAGTATGCAGGGAGCAATAGGTGGGAGGTAATGAATGGTCTTTTCAGCATAAGAAGAAAACAAAATAGTATATGTTTTTAATATATAAATCCATAATTCATTACACAGTGGCTTACCTCCATATACTGGCATGTCCCAGTGACAACTCATCAATGGATGAGTTCACTGAGTATACATCCCCATGATCTAATCACCTTCCACACATGTGACACTTCTGAGTGACATTTTAGGTCTAAACCCCAACGTTCCACTCCTGCCATCCAAGAGATGTATGTCCAGCTTATTGCGCAAAATGGATTTCATTCATCTCTTAAGAGTTTCCAAAGTCTTAACAGTTCCAGCACTGCTGAAATGTCCAAGCCCAAAGTTGCCTTTGAGACTAAAGGCAAACTCTTAGCTATGAGCCCCCATAGAGTAAAAAAGAAAGCTAAATACTTCCAACCTTCAATGGCAAAGTAAATAATTTTCCTTTTCAAAAGGAAAGAACTGGGGGGGGGGTGAGACAAAAATTGGACTAAAATACAATCAAAAGCCAGTAGGGCAAACATTAAATCCTGTAACTGTATATCCAGCATCTGGGGCAACTTCTGGTGAGATCTGAGTTCCCAAGGGCTGGGGTGGTCCTGTGCCTGTGGTGTTTTCTCTCTTGGGTTGTCTCTACTCACTGCCTGTAGCTTTCCTCAGCAGACATTCCATGCTCCTGGCACGTCCAGTTTCCTGGGATTCCCACTGCACTTTTGGCATTGAGCTCACAGCTTCTTCCATTACCCTCTCAAGGGCATACCCCTGGCCTCCCAGGCCTTTTTCTGAAATCTGGGTGGGTTCCTCCATGACCTCCTAACTCTTCCCATTCTGTATGCCTATAAAACCATCCCCACAAAGGTGATGCCCATGTCTGCCACCATCTCAAGCAGTAGTTGGGCCCCTTAGACCATGGCTTCATTGGTCTCTGATTGCTTAGATGTCTGAGCATGGTGAAATGAATCTTAGGGAGCCAATTCCCTAGGCAAACCTAGGAAGGACAGAATGGTGGAATAGCATGGAGGAGGAACTCTGCTCATCTCATGGCAACCAGGAAGCGGTGAGATATGCCAGGAGTCTGGGACAAGAATACACCCTTCCAGGTCACCCGCAGTGACCCACCTCCAGCCATTCTTCCTTAACAGCACATCCTCCCATGGAACTCAAGGGATGAATCCACTGCTGAGCGCAACACCCCATGACCCAGTGACCTCCCACATACATGTGACTGGGGGAAAACATTTTAGATCTAACATACAACATGGTTTTACAGTATACTGAATATTTCAATTAGACTTAGACCTTTGTATTTTGGGGGAAAACATTTTAGATCTAACATACAACATGGTTTCACAGTATACTGAATATTTCAATTAGACTTAGACCTTTGTATTTTGTAAGTTATTTTCATTCACTTGCTAATGAATGTAAACAACCGACTCAGCACCAAAAGTGTATAAAATTCTTGAGACCATAATGTTAAGTAAAATAAGCTAAACCCAGAGAATTAAATATAAATAAATAAAAATAAAATAAAGAATGGTAGGAAACAAAAAAGTAGGCTTTTAGAGATAGGGAGAGGGATGGAGAAAAGCTAGAGAGAGGAATAAAAGGATCAAAGATGACCACGATAATGCCTGATAAGTGTACCAATTCCCCAAGACAAATGTAACTAATTATGCAATGCAAGCATGCACTAATAAAAAAGGTTTTATTTAGGGAAAAAAAAATACAATGAAAAGAAGGTGACCAAGGTCCTTTCCTCATGGGAAATGGAGAAATGTAAAAGCAATGTGTTATCACAAAATGTTATTACCACAGATTGTATTGTGTTACATTCTATAAAGTACAGAGTTCCAGGGAAGGGAGATTTGGAAATGAGAGAGAGCCTTCTCATTAACTGATACTTTGGCCAAGGCATGAAGAAAGAGTTGGAGAGAAATGAGCAGAAAGCTGCAGAACAGCTCATGCAGCCACATTGGAAAAGGAGAGAGATTCATGCGTCTGCAAAAACACAGGGCAGCAAGTGTGGTAGAAGGAATGGGAAAAAAGTGAAATGGGGCCGGGAGGGAGGTGGAGAGAGACAGGGTCAAGCAACCTCAGGGTCTAGAATAACCACAGGTCTTAGTTTTCATTCCACATACAGGTTTGGAGTCCCCCCAACCCCAGAACATGACCCTGTTGGTTTCTGAAAAGAGCTCTGTGCAAAGTAGATGGCTGAGGTCCCTGAATGGAAATGGGAGTAGGGGAGGGAGGAGGCAGCTGGCAGGTTTTGTCGAAGTCCATCTGGGAGATGGTGTGTCTTGGACCAGTTGTTTTAGAGAAAGGAGAGGAAAGTACATGGGATTCAAAAATATTTGGGAGGTAGAACCGCAGGCCATTGAAAACACAAATCTTCCTTTATCTCTACTTTTTAAAATCTTATGTCACTAGAAGTCCAGTTCAAGTCCAACCTAATACAAATGCTCATTGCATTATGGCTTTAAATAAACTCTAGTGTCTGGTGTTATGATGTCTACTATCACTCAATTCAGAGAGTGAGTCAAAAGTTCTTTTACCAGAAATGAGAAAGGAAGAAATTTTGTCCCTTTAAGTTCTGGGTAAACTTTTCTTGCTTCTTTGGTAGTAAAGAGGCATTGAGGTGAGGAACTGTCCTCACCTACCTGATCTTGGGTTTTTGGAGTTGGACCACCTGGGTTTGCATCCTGACTATTTTAACTGTAACCTTGGGCAAATTACTACATTTTGAGTTAGCTGGAGATTAAATTCCTACTTCACACATTTCTTAAAGTGAAATGACTGATTTCCACGCTTGCTCATGATCGATGTGTGATAATTATTATTTCTCTGAACTTATAAACAGCCATCCTAGTAATCTCTACTATCCAGGTTGTTTGCTAAACCTAAACAATTGGAAGAATTTAACTCGATTCTTTCAATTTCCAGAGGAAGAAGTCACAGTCTAGGGAGGTGGGAAGATTTGCCCAAGAACAAAGACCTCACTAGATGCTCTGAACACCTAGCACCTTTCTGTTATGCGGGCTTCTCACGCGACATCTCTAACGTTTACCTGTAAGATTGTGTAAGATGTCCATGTCTTTGCTATTTCCTGCTAAAGGAAGTTGGTGGCTCACAGTGACCTCACGTTCTCTTTGCTAGTTACACGCTATGGGAAAACTTCCTGGAACCAGAATGGCAGAGTTAAAAGCCAAGTACACACTGCTGCATGACACGGTGATGAGGTATGCTGTCTACCAACGTGGAGGTACCGTTTGCCGCATCTCTGTGCTTGGTAATAGGACTGTATCTGTCCGCGTTCCCACCAAGGCGGACCCCGAGGCAAGGATTTCGTTCAAGTCACTTGAGAAACGATTTGAGAAAAGGCCTCGTGAGGGAGTGGGGAGAGACTGGGAAGGGAGGAACCCCCTGGCGTGGGTTGGTCTGTGGGTCTACAATGAGGACAACTGAGGCACAGGAAGGAGGAGGGGGCCTGTTCCACACTTCCTTAACTCTCTCGAGCCTCCTCTTTCCCTTTCCCCACTGCCTGCCTGTCGCTTTGTGTCTATCTTCATCAGAATCTCAGGAGGGACAGTGAGGGCTAAAGCTCCACCCTGCCACTCCCAGACGTCCTCTTCCAACCCCAGCCTCTGCCTCTGCCTCTGCTTCTTCACTGACTGGAGGCCTTGGGCTGCTTCGCAGGTGGGAGGATGAGAGAGTGAAGTAACTCATGTGCAAGTTCGCCCGCACACATCTGATACTTAGCCAGCTCCGTTCAGGGCCCTCCAGAGCCCCGCACGCTCCCACCATCCAGCCAGACCCTCACCCTATAGAGACTCCATCCTCTGAATGCAGAGTGTAGTTTTTGACTTGGAGATCTGGAGGCTGTAGGTGGCAAGTCTAGGGACATCTTTTTCTACATATTTCATCTCTTTAACCACCAAAGCTCCCCACAGATCAACATCCCCTGGAGCCTCTGGAGATTCGGGGAGTGTTGCAGTCTTTCTCACCCTGATGGCTCTGATCTGGAGCCCAGGGGAGCTCTGCAAGGTGCGGTGACTTGATTTCCTCCTCCCCAGGCCACAGCTCAGCACCTCAGCCCAGTGAGAAACAGCAGCTCAGGACCCAGGCTGTCCAGTTATTTCTTCTTGCTTCTGATTACGTTGCAAAACAGTTGTTTCCCTTTTGCTACCCGCATTTCACCTCCCCCGATGCTCAGTTCCCTCTCGCTGCAAACACACACAGCTCTCTCTGCACCCGCTGCATACAGGGCAAAGGCAGGAGGAAACAGTCTCCTCTCCTGCTGCTGGGCTGTGTAACCAGACAAAGACTGGGAATGCAGAGCTGAAACGAGTAACTTCAGCTTTCATTCGTGGAGATTGCATGTGTTGTTGCCACTTGGCCCCTGACACAGTGCCTGTCACAGTAAAGGTTTTGCTGGGTGACACGGGGCACATGGCATCCAAATCCCTGGGAAAATGGGTGTTGCTGATCTCTTCAGCTGAGATGGGCGTGGTCAAGGTATGGGCAGCTCTGTAGTGAGCTGAAACTGAAGGTTTTTCGTGGGGAAGGAACCCAGCGGGCCACACCCTCCGTTAAGTGAGGAAATGGCCACACTTGCTTCTGAATAGCAGAGGCGGCTCATGTGAGGGCTTCCAAGAAAGATGAATCACATCTGCCAGTAAAACTGGAGCTGCTGTTAGCTTATGCACAGTGAGTTCTAGAAAATTCTGGGGAGTTGATTAAGAATAATTTCTGTGTCTGTATAGATCCGCCTCTGCCAGGTGCCCAACCCCTTTCATTTTCCCTTTCCCAAATAACTACTACGATGTTCAAGCACAGTTCCAGTGAGGCATCAAGGTTAGAAAAAAAAAACTAGAATATATGCCTATCATTTTATAGGGAATTTCTCTACCTAGTGGGTTTTTTTGTTTGTTTTTTTGGTACCAGGGAGCGAACTTGGACCTTGTGCCTGTGAGGCAGGTATCGGAACCACTGAGCTAACCCCTAGCCTGTCTAGTCTTTTAATAACATGGTAGCAGAAAAGTTTCATTTTTGTAGTTCACTAAAAGGGAAAGATCTTCCAGGAGTCATGTCAGGAGAATCCAAGAAAACCAGCACTGCTGGGTTAGTTTGAGACCCACCCGGTCCCCCCTCCTTGGAAGACGTGGTCTTTCTTCATTCTTTACAAGGGAACACATTTGTCCTTTCTTTGTGGTCTCTCCCCTGTCTGCGCCTGGGCACCACTGGTCAGAGTTGTCCCCTGGTATTGCAGCCCAATTTACATGTGGTCCCTCTGCCCAGTGATGAGCAACTTGAGGCCAGGACCTGGGCCTCTCTGACCTCGACATCAAGTGGCCCCAAAATGTCACTGAGGCCAGGGACGGGCACTGCTGTGGACGTGCGCTTCTCACCGTGCACCTCTCCTCCGTGTGACCAGCACCCAGGAGTCCGAGGTCCAGCTGCTGCAGAACGCCAAGCACTTTACAGAGCAGATACAGCAGCAGCAGCTCCACCTGCAGCGAGCGGATGGCTTCCCTGAGGCCCTGTCCACTGAGGTCTCCAAAATGCGGGAGCAGCTACTCAAGTACCAAAATGAATATAACGCAGCGAAGGAAAGAGAGTTCCACAACCAGTACCGATTAAGCAGGTAGGTACGCAGTTGTTCCAGGCCCACGCAAGGCCCGGGGAGCAAAACCGTTTCCATGTCAGGAAGAAAAGTCAAATTGGGAAGCCACTCTGGGTACAAGCAATCGCAAGTTCTTCCCCAGACTCCCTGGGATGAGCAGTCCCTGAACAACTTCCAGCTTCTAGAAAAATAACGTGGGTGATGGAGGCCCTGGTGGTGTGTGTGTGTCCAGTGTGTTCTGTGGCTACCAGATCAGTTGATCCCTTGTCATGAATGCTGCTCCTCACGCACACTTTCCAAATGGGACTCGAGCTGAGGGTCCCATGAGCTATATTTCGTTCTCCTAAAGAGCACCAAATAATTCCAATATCAAAGCAGGGACCATGGGTTGCAACCTTCCTCCTCTTCTATTAAACTGTTTCTTGGGACTCAGGAAGAGAGTTACGTTTGGAGGACATCCACTTACACATATCTAGAAGATGTCACTTAGAGAACTAAAGCTGAGATTTGCTGTTAGAAGGGCAAACATTCCCGAAATCCCTAGCATTCTGGAGTAGCAAGTCGTGGAAAGAGTTTGTTCCCCAAGTCTCACTCTTCAGATTGAATTTGAAAGTGACTGCAGCTCGGGTTTTGTGCCCCACGCTGCACCCTGGCACCAGAAGGCCAAACCTTCTCTTGGGAATTGGTTACCATTTAAGGTGGCAGAGCTTTCTCTGGCTGTTTGTAAGAGGAGGCAGTTTTCTGCCAGCACAGATGCAAGTCAGAGCTGTCTGGAGACAAGCAAACCACTTGAGTGGGCCCCCAAACCTTGCAAGGCCTGGGTTTTGAGATTGCCCCTTGGGGTCTGTTTTTTCAACTGAGGGGTAGGTAAAGGAGGCCGGTTTAACATGAGAATTCTATTCTGAGGGACAAGAAGTAAGAGTTGTTTTTATCTTTTATTGTCTGTCAATCTAAACTTGCTTCAGACTCACCAGTGAGCTATAAAAAGAGCCTAGCTATTTCTGTGTTCTGTAAGCACTCTTTCAGCTGAGAAAATAATGAAATTAAAACAATTGGCGGTTGTTTATTAGTATTGAAAACATGAATGCTTGACATTTTGTGAAAGGGTAAGAGGAACATAAGTCAGTGGGTATTTAAATTGTTTCAAATTTCCAAGCATTCCTGCCAAGGGGAAGGGAAGGCCCAGAACTCTATGGCTTTTAGGAATAGACGGGCAAGCCGTTCGCTTAGGATGGGGAGGGGGATTTGTATGGTGACTTAGAGTGAACAAGAACATTCCAAATGCACATTATGGGGGTATTTAGTGTACAGTCTTTAGGATGTGTGACAGAAAATCTTTTAGCCTCAATCTCCCTTTCATTCTCAAAGATCAGCAGTGCAAGTCTTAACAAGCTTATTTTCATAAAAATAACAGTGATATAAAAGGAAGTGGCAGGAAAGAATTATAGACTGTTCATTGCATCGGTTAAACATGCCCCATACTATATGGCACAGAAATAAACTCACTTGCCCCTCTCCAAGAAAAAAGGTGGATAGCTCCATCCCCAGATAAAAATAAAGTAAGCCAGTGAGAGAACTATTCATCCAAATATACAGATGCTATTTGTTAGACCAGTACAATAAACTCTCATTTTATTCAATTTTTAAATAACAGAAGCCCAAATAACCAGCAGCCCTCCTCCACCCAGCCTCTTTAGGAACTTCTGAATCATGATTGACTACCAAGAAAACATACTGTTCATGTGCTCTAGAGAAAGGATTTGCTCTACAACTTAGTCACTTTCTTCTGTTTCCATATAAACTCTTTAATAAATGCTAATGGCCTAATTATGTGGGTGCTTACTAGTTACAATAGCTTTACTTCTTAGACTGATATCTGCTGATGACCTCTTGATAAATATATACTTCAGGAAAGAAAACAGATCCTCTTTCAGCGAGGTAAATACATTTTAATGAATAATGAAACCTCTAAGTCAATATCATAAACTTATTTTTGAAATAAAGTGGGAGCAATTCTTTTTCTATAAACTTTCTCCAAGAAGATTTTTCCACATTCTCTTCAGCCTTTTCCTTACCTGACTTGGTTAGCTTTGGGGGCTTCCCATAAAATTTGAGCAGTGAATGTCCTGCTGAATCCGAGATTGTTTTGGCCAGCAGAGGAAACAAGGCCTTGGCCGGCGAGTGTTGTGTCACCAGGCAGGCATGGGGCGTGGGGATGCCCGGCCACACACAAGTGCGGGGCTGTTCCGATGCAACCCTGACCTTAGGACGGTTTCTCTCCCTTCGCTGGTTCTTGCATCCCCATCGTTCACACGGGCTCAGCAGTTATTTTCCTCCCTTTGGTCCAGCCAGGAGAGCAGAGTGGGAACCAGGAAACACACAGACCCAATGAGAAGGGAGCAGAGCAATGAAGTTAGCAATATACTGGAAATTCGGGAGGCTGGGAGGTGACTGAAGGGCCTGCCAGAGTCCGAATGAAACGCCTCAATCATCTTTGCTTCCTTTGGGACAACCCGTAACACAAAGAGACGCACCTGCAATTCTCACTGAAAGGGTAGGTCTGCTCCAAATGAATGATTTCTGCCCAAACTTCCCCAGTGCAACATTTCAGCTCTTCACAGACTTCCTAAGTGATTCTGAGTTTGCAAACTTTACCCCAGGGCTGGTCCTCAGCCTGGCCCCATCTCAGAGGCCCTGGCCGCCGCCTCCCACAGTGACCCCTGCTTTGGGAGGCTTCTATCAAGCAGATTCCTGGGCTGCTTCAGAATCTTCCTCCTCCACAAGGTCTGCCCCGCTTGCTTTTTCTGCCGATGGTCAGTGGTGCCCCTCCTGACTGCTACTCTCAGGCAGGGAGGGAATCGGGCTTCTGCCATGCAAGCTGCCATGTGTGAGGGGCCAGGGCCATGGGCCGTGGGCTAAACAAATTTAGCAAGAGCAGGAGATACATAGAAGCCAGAGTTTGGGGATACATGACCCGAGAGAGTGGCGGGGTCCGAGAGAGGACCGTGCCGTGGGGTGCAAGGCGAAGATTTTTATATCGGACTTTAACTTGAAGAGGGGAGTGGGGTTTTCATCCCAGGGATGCTCTCATCAGGTCACTGTGGTCCCACGGTCCGTCCATCTCTGACCTGAGGAGCCAGGTGTTGTCAAAAGACTGACGTAGTCCAATGCCCTCGACATTGCTATAGAAAATCAATGAAAGATGGACTAACATCAGTAGTCAAGGAGATCAAATAAAACATTTATGTTCGTACTTGAAAGGGACCTCGGGCGTTCTGTTGGGACAAGAGGAGAAATAGCATCTTTGAGACGTGACGACTTACAAGGTGAAACGTGAATGTGTCACTAAGCTCAGTGTAGCCTTAAAGGAAACAGTTGTTAAATCACCACAATTCCCTCCCGCTCCTGCACTGTCTGCACCCCAGGATCCTTAAAACCAACACATGTGGTGACATGTTTCCCATTAGGACTATTTAGGGCAGAAAGGAAGTAAATCCTAAGGAGTTTTGATATTGAAACACTCACTTCTAAGGAGTTTTGATGTAGAAATACTCAGTTCATCCAGAAAGCCTAAGAGGCCAGATTTAGATTTCATGTGAGTTTATAGTGCGAAAATGTTAGCAGTTCGTGGATCTAGGTTAAAGGAATTTGGTTGTCTATTACTTTTCTTTCAATTTCTCTGTAGATTTGAATATTTTTAAAATAAGTAAAAAAGGGGAAAAAATAAATTTCGCATGAGTTGAAAAGGTTAGGAGTTTCATACATGCCAAGAGGCCCATACAAAAATGTTTTGGTCCAGTGAGGCCATCGTGTATGACAATCCAGAAAGAGAAGGATGATGTGTGAAGATGTTTGTTATATCATTTTTAATAAAAGTAAAAAACTGGGAGCAATCTGAACCCATTAAACATGTGGAATATTTAAATAAGGTAGTGCTCAGGTAGCTTGATACTGAAAAGGCAGATAAAAAGTGAGTTTCACTGTTAATGTTACCCTTGACTGTATGCCCTTGGAAAAGTGCTTAATGCCTCAGTTTCTTCATCTGAGCAATGATGATAAACACCTACACTGGGCCAGGTTGTGGAGTTTAGAAATGATGCATGTCAGGTACCTGGCAGGCAGTAGGTTCAGTAGATGAGAAAGAATATTTAGGGTTATTTCATGATGGTATAAGCTACCCAACGGATCCTTGACAGAATTAAATTATTAATTATGAATTCTATTTCACAGCTGGGGAGATATTAACTGTCAGGTGAAAGTGGGTTCAAGCATACATGTACAGTTATAAAATTTTCTTTAAAAATACAAGGAAAATTGATCAGCCATCGTTGCTAGGGGTAGGATTATGATCACTCTTATAGAAAAACACTCATCTTTTCAAGGAAATAAAAATCAATTGGTGTTTTTCTTTTTTTTTTTTTCAATGAGGCTTGAACTCGGGGCCTTGTGCCTTGTGAGACAGATGGCAGAACCACTAAGCTAAACCCCCCAGCCCCCTGGTGTTAATAAAAAGAAAAATGCACAACAGAAATGTAATTAGTTTAAAATCTTCTAAGCAGTTAGCCATTTTGTGTTTCTTTTAAAAATCACTTTTACATTTATGTAGCTAAAGAGAGAGTACTGGAAGTCTTATCTTCCAGGAAAGCCTTTTTGAAGCACAGTACTCCGGTTACCTTTAGCACCCAAGGACGAAAGCGCACTACCACCCCCTGGTGACTAAAGTGTGGGATCGATATCTGGGAATTAAAATAGCTCCAGGTTTCACAAGCTGTAAAAGCAACAGCAAAATGTCCCAAGCTCTTAAACAATTCAGCTTCAATTTGTGCTTAGGACAACTAAACTATATTAAATTCAATTTGACAAATTGACACTAATATTCATGTACATTATTGCAATTAAATTTCATAAAAATAAACTCTGGTGCTCATATAGCTTTGGTGCTGTGTTCTCAGACCTAGTGATGTGTGTAGGATCAGTGTGATACAATCGGTGGACCTCATATTCCATGCACTCCAACTTTTATTTTACAGATGAGTCTTATATATTGTTAATTTTGTGTTGATCAAGTTTTGAAAATCCTAAGACTTCTTTAAGCACATCGTAGTTATTAAATGTAGAATAACAAGAAGAATGGAAAATATTTCTCATAGATATCTTCAAGAAGTGTGGTAAAATGGAATCATTGGGAGAAAAAAATAAGTGATTGTATTCAACCCCATTATTTATTTTGTTTTGAGCATTTAAACTAACCCTAGTTGAAGCAGTTTCCCAAATTTCATTTTAGCACTGTCATCTCATCCTAACAGTTGCAAAAGAACAATAGGATACAAATGTTCTCTTTATTTTATTTTCATCAACAAGTCATTGGAACCATGTGTACTTATTTCACCGTGCTTTCTAATATTTCCTGTTTCTTGGGTTTGTTGATCTCAACTTAAGCAATGGTTGGCTTTCGGGTCGGGGGGACATCTGCTCTAAGTGGTTGCTTATACATTCCTGATTGATGATGGTGTTGCTGAGTTCAACGAGGTCCTTGTGATTTTCTGCCTTCTACATACGTCTGTCTGTTTCTGATAGGAGTGAAGTCGCCAATTATAACTGAACCTTGCTGTTCTATCAGTTTTGTTGCATGTACTTTGATCCTGTTTTCAAGTGAATACCTGTTAAGGATTGTTATGTCTTCATGGAGAATTATTGTGTCTTCCTGGGTTGGGTAATACCTCTCTATCCTGAATCACTTTCCTTGCTCCAAACTCTACTCCATCTGAAATTAGTAGAGGTCATTATCCTTTATCCAAAAGGCTTGGGACCAGAAGTGTTTTAGGTTTCAGATGTTTTAGATTTTGGAATTTTACATAGACTTTACCAGTTGAGCATCCCTGATCCAAAATCCAAAATCTGAAAGTCTGAACATTGTGTCAGTTCTCAAAGTTTCAGATTTTAGAACATTTCAGGTTTTGAATTTTCAAATTAGGGATACTTAACCTCTACAGCAATCCCTGCTCTCTCTTGGTTGGCACTAGCATGGCCTTTTCAGTCTACTTTTAATATATATTATATTTAAAGTAAGTTTCTTCTAGGCAACCAATAGTTGGGTCTTGTTATCTTTTATCTACTCTGATAATCTTTTAACTAACATTTAACATAATTGATATAGTTGGATTAACATTTATCATTTGTCTCTGCTGAGCATTGTTTTTGCTATTATAAATGATATTTTTAAATTTTTCATAATAAAATAGAGAATAACAATAGTTAATACACCATGTACTATTATCTTAAAACAATGGCCAAAATGTTACTCAGGGTACAAGTCATTCACAAAAACAGACTCTTACTAATAAACTGATCGTTTTTATATGACTCCTTCTCTCTCCTTTCTTAGCATTATAATTTCTACTTTTTGTCTTGTTAATGGTTTCCCTAGAGTCTGAAATATATATATTTACAACTATTGCAAGAACTTCCAAATAACACTACTGTATACCAGTTTAAGTACATTATAATAATACAATAAATCCCAATTTCTCACTTTCTTCCTTTTGTATCATTTCTTATACAGTAGCATATTATAAATACATATGTTTCTGTTTATAAACATATAACTGAATGCAGTATTGGTATTATGATTTTAAACAAATTTATCAATGAGATCATTTAAAAATAAGAAAAATATGTCCTATATCTTCACTCCTTGATGTTCTTTCTTTCTCTATTTCTTACATGAAAGTGTGAGTCTCCAAGGAAATTCTGAGCTGGTGATACCAATTTAAAAGTCGCCACTGTAATTGAATCTTGAAAACATTTTAGAGAATATGAAAAGAAAAAGGCTTTGGCTCGGGATCTGCTGCAATGACAAAAAAAAAAATCTTAAAATGTGAATAAAATCATGTTATAAAATTTTTTTCCTGGCTTACAGCACAGTGCAGGGCAGGTCACATACCTCCCATGTTCGGCACAGTTAGGAAGCTGGAGATATTTGTTTCCGTTCACCTCCAATCGGCAAAAACTAGTCCCGTGGCCCCAAGCCGAATATAAGGGATGTGTCGTCCCCCTGTGTATCCAGGAAGGGAAAATGACAGTGAACACATGACAGGCAATTGGGAAATAATCAGATACATAAATGCACGATGTAATGGCCGGTGGTGATTAGTGCTACACAGAAGAGGGGATCTCGTGGTCAGGGAAGAGTGATGAGAGCTGGTGCCGACTTGGGGCAGGACAGTGGCTGCCTCTGCAGACCTCTGTGCATAAAAATGAACTATGCAAAGATCTGTGGCAGAAGCAAGCCAGCTGGAGGGATCCACAGGGCAAAGGCCCTGAGATGGGAACCAACTTGACATGGAGGCCATTGTGGCCAGAGCCCTGGAGTGGTGGGCAGAAAGAGGTAGACTGTACGGGATGGGGGAGGCTTGGGGAAGTAGCTCACATTTTGGTTCAGGTCGGTCAGTGCGCAGGGAAGTGAGAGGTTCTTGTGTATGTGGCTGCAATGTCCCTGTGGAGCTGAGAGTTGCAGTGAGTGGGGGCTGCTCAAGGTGGGGCAGTAATCAGGGCAGTGCTGGTCCATGGCAGGTGATGGGGAGAGGGAGAAACCTGGAGCCTCCTGCAGGGTGCCTGTGCTGGGATAACTGCTCCACTGGGGGTGTAGATGGCTGAGGATCCTGGGGAGGAGACAGCCCCAGAGTGGGCCTGGGGGGGGGGTCAAGAAAGTCATCCTGAAGAACGGACCCCAGAGTGTGTAGATGCGTCTGGGCACAGTACCGGGTGAAGAGAAAGCAGGCAGTTATTAACACAGAAAGAGCTTGTTCTTTTGGATTTCATCAAACTTGGTTTTTTTTCTTGGCAGCTTAATGGAAGAAAAGAGCCTCATATTAAAGGAATTTGAGAAGATACCTAAGCCAGGAGTAAGTATTAGATGATCTAAAGTTTGTTAAATGAAGGAAGGTCCAAGCATCCTTTTTTAAATAATAATCTTTATTACCACAAGTATATCCTGAAAGACCAAGAATCATAACTGTTCACCATGCTGGAAGGAAAATCTATATAACTTCTGGAGCAAATATAAGTGGTGCCTGTTAGAGAATTTATCAAATTGGTGTCTAATCTATGCTGTGTTTAGTTGAATAGCATCTGCTTTGTTCCTAGAAAAAACAAGTGTTCCGGGGCTGGCACTTAAAAACATAATTTTGCTGCAGCTGTTAGCCTCATGGCTTTCTGGATATCCCTTGTCATAGCAAGAAATTCTAATTAAGAACACATATCACTTATGTGTTCCTGCATAACAAGCCATCTCCACATTTAGTGGATTAAAACAGCTGTTGTTCCTCCTTCTCCACAGATCTGAATTCTTCTAGTCTCAGCTGCTCCACTGTGGCTGAGTGGTACAGGAAGGCTTCATCTGTATGGAAGTCATGCCACAGACTGCCTGGCCTAAGGTCACACTTCACGAGCTGATCCCGTCATAGTGATAGGGTTTCCAGCATCGAGAGAGGGCAAATCCCCACCTGCAGGAAGCTTTTGACAGTATCTCATTGGTCAAAGCAATCCACGTGGTCAGGAGTAGATTCAAGACAGAGAAACAGGCCCTCCTCTCTGTGGAAAGGATGCCCAAGACTCGGGGCAGAGGAGGGGCAAGCCATCAGGGGAGGGGGTTGTGGAGGTTTTTTGCCATCAGCTGTAGAGAGTAAAGAGAGAGGTCATTGGACTTTGCTTTGCTTCCACTTTCTCAATGCTTATATTTCAAAAATGTGCTGTTGATGACCAACCCACGAAAACCTGTTTCCCTCCCAAAACCTGTTCATCAATAGTAAAACGCTACTAATTCTGCCTACGTTCACCTAATCACCATTTGCGATGCAGATTTTATAGGAAAAAGCATTTTGAATTTTATCTCCAAACTGTAGGTGGTTAACGTTACTCTCTCCCAGTGGCAGGGGAAGGAGAAGAAGGGACTATGCAGACGGCCTGGGGCCGGCTAAGCAGACCCAGACACTTCCTTGCCGGCTGAGTAGATGGCTCTTCCCCCATAAGTCAACTCTCCCGATCCTAAGACAACGAAACAGGATCTACTAGGAGTCTGGGGTACAGGGCATTTGGGAAGAATTTGCAGAAGCTTGAGAAGCAATACTGATCAGAAAGTAGGGTTGTGGTTAGGGGGAAAGTGCACCCCAAATATGAACTCCTCTATCTTTAGTTCCTATCTGTGACTCAAGCTAACCATGATCTAGGTAGTCAGAGATTATTTGCTTCTGATGTTGTCAAAACCACAAGCCTAGTAGAAAACAGGACAGACTTCCATCAATACTTTTGTTATGAAATAAAAATTTAACTCGGGGAACATTTAAAATAGGAAACACTAGTTCAAAAAATAATTCAAATCTAACATAAAACGCTCAATTAAACATGAAGTACTACTGTCACGCCTTGATTGAAGGTGCCAGAGACCACAAACTGCATTTAACTTTGTGAGAAAACATTCATGAGTCTCAAAAATACTCCAAATGGTGAGTGAGATTATTTGTAATTTAGTTTTTAGGTAGAAAAACATTTGTTCAGACTATAACGCCTTACAATGTTGATAACTTTTAAAGGAAACGGAGAAGAAGATGAAAGTTCTGAGAGAAAGCACTGAAGAATTGCGAAAGGAAATAATACAGAAGAAACTAGAAATTAAAAACTTACGGGAAGATTTGGCATCTAAGCAAAAGCAATTAATCAAGGAGCAGAAGGAACTGGAGGACGTGCTGGAACATCAGGTCGTCCTGAAGGTGTGCTCCTTAACGTGGATATTTACGCAGTGCCTGCAGGGTTAGGGAAATACAAATGGCACCAAGGGTAACTGCTGCTTAGGCTCGACGAAAAGAGCTATTGTCACCCAGACTGGCATGTGCCTTGTCATGGAGGCTGTGAAACTGAACCTACCCTCTGGGAATTCACAAAACACTATTGATACATAGCATCATTCCATTTTAAAGCTCTGACCCTGGGGGGCAGGCTGCTTCTCCACACTTCTCCAAAAATTTTGTGATATTTAAAGGAACGTCACAAGCGCAACTGCTTCCTTGAAGAGCGGGAGATGCTAGCAGTCAACCCTGGCATCAGAGGGGAGACAGATCCCTCCCAGGGGAATCTGAAGAGAGCACCCAAAATATGGGTCAGACTCAGTCAAGCACAACCCTTTTATAGGGCCTCATAATTAAAGTGCAAAGGGCAGATTCTAAGGATTCTGCCTACTGTAGTTCCTTTCGTGCTCCCATTTAATTCGCTTGTCTTATTTCTTCTGGTCCGAGACTATATAATTTAATGCAATTGCATTTCCTTTCCAGGATGAAGTGGTCCAGCACCAAACCATTCCTATACAGATTGGAAAGGAGATAGAAAAAATAACACGCAGAAAAGTGTATGGTTTAATATTATTCCAAACCACCCCAGCCACCCTTCCTGAGTAACGTATGCACACTAAATCAAGAGGGCTAAGCACTGGACACTTCAGACTCATATTACAATTTTCTGCTTTCACCCTGTCTAGGTTTCACATTTCAAGTTCTATAAAAGATAGTGTAGCAAATGACTATGGTTCATAGCTCTTACATGTGTCTTAATTATGGGTTCAAATTCTGTTTCCAATTTATAAATCATATCTTTCTAGAGAACTCCAATTGACTTTAACAGAGGTAGGGATAAATTATTCGACCTGGTTAGGACTTCATGGTCCAGACGTCAGGTCACCAGTGGCTCACATGACAGCACCCACTTTGCTGCCTGTGCATGTGTGTGACACCCTTGGACGGAGCATATCTGGATACAAAGGTCACCAAAGAAACGCTCAATAGAAACAATAAATGTAAGCAAAGATGCAAATATTCTGGAGAAATGATTTCTCTGGTGACTGATCTTAAGAGGGGTAAAAATGAAGCAGTAATTAGTATCAAAAATGATTATCAAAATTATTAAGATGTATCACTCATTGTCTCCCTGTGCCTGGACCAAAATCGAGAAATCCAGGTCATTTCCAAGAAGCTGGTCAGAAGGAGAGTAGAATCAGAGCTGGGAGTTCTTGAGAACTGGTGAGGAGCAGGGAGACTGGCACATCCCTGCCTCAGTGGCACTCAGGGAAAGGTACCTTCTACCCGTACTCACCTGGGACCTTCATGGACTCCTAAGACCACTGAATCTGACTAGTTCTGCCTGGTTTCAAGCACAAGCACAAAATAAAGCACCTGTGTGTGTCTCTGTGTGTGTCCCCTACAGAGAAATGGAAAGGAAAAAAATTGTCCTGGAATATGAAGTCAGAGAGCTAAACAACTCCCTAAAGAAAGTCGAAAGTAAAGTTAGCGCTCTAGTGGAAGAGAAGGAGGATGTGATGAAGGAGGTTGAGGGCAAACGAGCCTTACGTGAAATGAAAGAACGGGAGTATAACCAACTGGTCAAGCTTCTGGAACTAACCCGAGAGAGCGAGGCATCGTCACTCACCGAAAGGTTCGTTGTACTTCCGGGAAAGAGTTCTGCCATCTGAAGCTGTCCTTGATGTGTGTTGGAGGATGCAAAACACAATCTCACATTTATCTTATGTTGATTCAATTCAATATGATTTGCAGAATTTTAATTCAGTTTTTCCATTGATTAAAAATACATTATCAAATATTTTGAAGTACTTTTGCCATCCTTTGCTCACAAGTTCCCTCAGTTCTCTGTGGCCAAATTTTGAGGACAAAATCCATCATGTGTGAAATATACCTCTGGGAAAGTAAATCACTGAGTATGCTGTGTAGCTCAGGGATTTTGCCAACAAATGAATGGTATTTCAGATGTAATTGGGAATTTTTCCCAGTGGGAATTTCAAGGTGTGGTTTGCCAGGCGGATTTTTTTTTTCCTACTTTTCTTGTTGTTGTTCCAGTTCTGGGGATGGAACTCACGCTAGGCAAGTGCTGCACCACTGAGCTACACCTCTACCCCATATCCCTACTTTCTACTTTCACGTAAACTTTAGAGAAACCAGGGTTTCCATCTCTGCCAATTCGTTATTACCTCTGATGACTTTATACAAACACAGCTCCAAATGATACCCTCTTATGCAACTGGCAACCTGGTTGCTTTGGGCATAATTGACAATTATGTCTGCACCCAAGTTCCTATGGTCAGCACGCATCTTGGCAAGCTGTGAAAAACATGGGGTCAGCTGATGATGTGCCACTCATTGTCTCCCTGTACCTGGACAGAGGGGTCTTGGACCTCAGTTTACGAAACAGTCTCATCGACAAGCAGAACTACCATGATGAACTCTCTCACAAGCAGAGAGAGAAGGAGCGAGACTTTCGAAATTTAAAAAAGATGGAGCTGCTCTTGAAAGTGTCGTGGGATGCGCTCTCACAGACTCAAGCTCTTCACCAGAGGCTTCTGTTAGAGGTGGGTGGCAGAAACCACTATCTGGTTTTGATGCTCAGTGCTATCTTTGGAAGTAAAAGTATTAGAAACCTGGGTGGGTTTGGTTTGGTTTATTTGTTTTTGCTATCAACAGAGAAAGAAGAAAAATAAGTGAAAAGGCAATTTTCAAATGCATCCAAACTGCTTATAGAGTTCACAGTTCTATGTCTTTCAATCTCCTTTTTAGCTCAAGACTAGAGAACTGCCTTGTCTGGATCTAGGCCTCAGCCTGGCCAGAGAAGTACTTGGGTCATCAGTTCTGGAAGGAAGTAGAGGGTCCGCTATAGGTCAGGACCAACCTCCTTCATCCCTTAAGTCAGATCCAGCTGGAATCCCAGTGCCAACGAAGAGAAATAAACTGCCATCTACATTTTAAGACTGTGACCCCAGAATTAAAGCCCTCTTAAGTAAATATGATCTTTCTTCTATTATGGTTTTTCTTTACTTGTAGTTTTCTAGAGATTCCATCTCTCTTCACTCTGATCTGAGTGTAGTTCTGCATTTTTGTCTCTTCATGACTCATTTCCAGTGCTCCAGGCAGTTGCACCTTTGTTGAGGGGACCTTCAGCCTTGAGTAAGAGGCAGGTCCAATTCCTGGATCCGTTGAAGTGTTTTCTGCGTTAGGTGTTTTGCAAACCTTTGCGCCGGGATTATCACAGGGAACAAAAGTGATTGGAAGTGTGAGAGGGTATGGTTTTATGAAGGTACTCAGTAAATGCTGCTTTCCTTGCTTTGTACAGATGAACTCCTTGAAAAGCTAAAGAAAATTCTATTGCTAGGCTAAGACTACGAAGACAGCTCTCTCATCCTGGGGAGAAGGCTGCACAGTCAGCCCTGGTCACGAGCCTCTGCTATGCCGCTCATGACCACTGGCCCTCCCTGAGCGACTAGAACTGCCCGCCAGTTCTGGTCAGGACCTGTTGCTTCCATGTCTAATCCCTGTGTCATCCACCCGCTAAGACATTCAATGGATCCTTATTTCATGTGACCACAGAATGAAAGACCTGAGAGGAGTCATAAATGTTCTATGTTCTCCTCAAGACAAATAAGCTTCAGTATGGCAGAGATTCCCAGCTCGACGATTAGAAATGTTGCTTCGGGTGTGAAAAGAAATTTTTTCTTTGTATTTGCTATTTCTAATCAAGTCCTCTTCCTCTTCAAGTGCTGTCTTTCAGCTTTTTATTTTTGAATCTCTTCATACCCTGCACAACATGCTTATTCTGCTTTTACTTGAGCCTTCGGTTTTAGAACTGATCTTTGTACTTTTCACTGAAAAAGATGAGGATTCTGCTCTCTTTTAGATCCCTGTTCACCATATACTTGTCTCTTGTCCCTCCATACATGAAGTATCCTCATGTCATCATTTTGGTTAGGTGAGATTTTGAGAGGTTTACACTGTTGTAAATATATAAAGTTTATGCACAACGGAATCATGTAATAATATATAATTGCCGTTCCTTACAAAACATTTTTTCAAGAATTTATAAGCATCTAAATTTTTGCATATTTTTCTGTGTAGTTATTTCAACCCCAAACTGTTCTCCATTGACCGAATTTTCTCTCAGTGAGTTAAAACACATTTGATACTGTATTCACCTAATGTCCTTGAAGAAGTCAGTCTTGAGCCTTATCCCTGACCTCCCCAGCAGGCACACACTTGGGGCTGAAGGAGTTGTTGAGCCTATTACACGTGACAACAAGGGAGAACATACATTCAGGAATTGCAGGAAGTCTTCTTAGAGGGCACCAGGAAGGACTTAGGGACTCGTGTTCTAGGATTTGAAGAATGGCTCAAGGGAGTGGAACCTCTTTGCCCTGAATTTGGATGTCATCAGGAAATGAGAGTAGTTCTGTGGTGGGATGTTAATAAATCTTATCCAGAAAGAGAAAGGGCTGGATAGAAGAAAGCTCTAATTGACCAAGAAGGGTCAAGTGGTGGATGATAGTATTTTGTAGCCTGGCCAATGCTCATGCTTTTGTCTGTATTCAAACACAGGTATGGAGTGGGCTTGTTTTTGTCTTGCATCATCAGAATCATGAAATAGCTTTGTCTGAGGTTGGTGTTGTGGGACAATGTTTGTATTCAACTCTGCCACAGCCAGCTGTGAGTGACAGGCTCAAGGAGAGCAGGGCTGCTTTTCTTTCCGGCCTCTGACCTGTTAAAAAAGAAACTAACTTCTCCGTGCTCACTGTCCTGCTTTTGTCATGGGAGCCTCACTCCACCATTTTGGTGTTCCCGTTACCTCTCTCCTGGGTCAGAGCCTTTATTCTGTGGTCTCATCTGTTCCTGTCTTGGCTCTCTTCCTTTTCCTGAGGAGAACATGGCTTCCAGTAGCTTCCTGAGAAAATGAGAGTGGAAGTAATTTTTAAGACCTTGCCTGTCAGAAAATGCAGAATAGAAACTATTACATATTTAATGAGTTAACTGTACAGATAATAATCTTACTGGCTGTGTCCCCTTAGCTTAGAAACAGTTTTCCCTCAGGATGAAGGCATTGGCTAATCATCATCTTATAGCTTCTAAAGTCACCACTGAGAAAATCTGGTGTCATTCTGGATTTTGATCCTTTAGTTGAAAGCTTCTTTTCTGTGCTGGAAGCTTGTAGGAACTTTCACTTGCCTCCAGGATTTTTCTATCTCATTGATATTCCCATGTGTGCTGGGAATATCATTTTCTTTATATTTTATGCTGGGCTTTCTGTGGGTTCTTTGAGTATGGAAACATATCTTTGAGCTCTGAGAGTCTGTCTATTTTTGTCCACTCCATTTCCTCTGCTCTGTCTTCCTGGGTATTCTTTCATGAACATGTTACACCTTCTAAAAAAGCTCTCTAATTTCCTTGTATGTCCATTCTTTTTTGTCTTTTTTCACTTGTTATCAGGAAGATTTCTTCAGCTTTTCTTTGCAGCCCTTCTGCTCTTTCATCCTGCTCTTACCTTTTGTATTTCCATGTGCTCTTTTCATTCCATTTCTGCTTTATGGACTCTTTATTTATATTTCATATCTTCTCTTACCGCACTGAAGATACTAGCATCAGTTTCTTCTGCTTCTTGCATAAATTTTCTTCAAACTATTTTTCCCTAGGTTGTGTGTGTGCTTTGTTTTTATATTTTATTAGAAACTTTGCTCCTATACATCAAAATCCTTGGGTATCTGCTTATACTTACATGTAAGGAAAGATGCTGCAAAGCTAACAGGGGGCTGTTTGTAGTGGTGAGGTTTGCCACTAAGGATGAATCTGGCTAAACACAAAATGCATAAGGAATGACCCTCTTAGTCACTCTGTCATCTCTGGGACAAAATTCATAATACCCACGTCTTGCAGGAGGAGAGATTTATTTTGTCTCCCAGGCAGAACAGCACCACAGAAGGCGTAGCGGAGGAAGGCTGCTCACCTCATGGTGTCCAGGAAGCCGAGAGAGCCGTGGAGAGTGAGAGAACTGTCCAGGTTGCACCCTGAGTGAGCCCCGCTCTCCCCACCAGACCCCACCTCCAGCAGCACACCCAGCTCTGATTCATCCATGGATGAATCCACTCATGAGCGCAACACCCTCAGTGATCCACTCACCTTCCAAAAGGTGGCCTTTGCGGCCATTCTTGACCTAAACCATAACAAGCACTTCACCAGCGAGAAGTCTGCAGTGGAATGCTCACAAGTTCTTCGGATTTTTAGCAATTTATAAGCAATTTTTAGCTATTTATATGATAACACTCCTAGCTGTTAAGTTCACAAAATAGCACCCAGACAGTACAAAGCTAGAAGAAATTAAAATGTACTGAAATCCTCTGCCTTTAATGATTTCAAGAAAAATGTGTGTTACTGTCCTAGAAGGGTTTCAGTGAGCCATTCACCCTCTGCTTGGACCTCTGGCTTTTAATTAGCTGGCCACTGCCCAGAGCCAGACTTAAGACGGGAGTGGGCTAGGGCAGCTGCTCCCACTGGGTATCTCAGACTTGCACACAATCCAAGGAGGAAAGAGATGAAAAGTGAGCACATGGCCCTCCAGGGATGGCCCCGAATTGGTCCCCTCTAGAAACAGTTGTTTGATTCTCCCATGGCACCTGACTATTCAGAGACTCTCCTGAAACTCAATACACAAGTCTCACAAATGTTTGAAATAGGAAAATCTCAAAGTGTTCTACTTTTCACTAAGGCTGGCTGATAGCAAATAAAGGGAATGTTTTACACCATTGGAATAACTTGCATTACAGATGATCATTTCTGTGCTGAAAATATCTGAAACAATAGACACCAAAATATTAATGGTTACCCCTAAATGTAGCATTGGCAATAGAGTTGAGGAACAGAACATCATTGATTTCCATAGTTCATTTGGTTACAATTAACATATTTTTTGAAAAGTGTGAAATGCCATGCTATAGTAGTGACCAAACCAAAGAACTAAAATAAGCCTTCCAAACCTGCAGATAGATCTCATAGCTAATGAGAAACATCTCACATCAACTCAGACCAAATAATAGGACTTTTAATAGTTGTTAGATTTTTTTTTTCCTTCTACATTAATGGAGACTTCAGTCTAACCCCACTGTATTTTCCAGATTACTTTAGGAAGATTTCTTTTTTCAGAAGATACATCAATGTGATGTGCAGCTTGGCTCCAACAGTTAACAGAAAATTGCAGTGGCTTTACTAAATAGGGGCTCACTTTATTCACATATTCTTTTAGTTTTCCTTTTTTGTTGTGCTTAGTGTGTGTCTATCTTCTCCATGGTCCCAAGATGCCCAAGAAGGGGTGGGCCAGAGAACAAAGGGCACGTGGTAGCAGATTTCTTTGCAGGAAAACTATCCCAGGAGCCCTACCCAGCTGACTTCCACTTCCATTTTGGGAGCTTGTCCTGGCCCATCTGGTGCCCCCACTTGTACGGGAGTCTGAGGGCTCCTGGATACTTTGCAACTTTGAACAGCAAAGCTCTGCTGTAAGGTCAGAGTGAAGGGTGACCAGCCGGCTGCACTGCCAGTGCCTTAACTTGTTACCTTTTCTGCAAACCAAGCATATATAATTCCTGCTGAAAGCAGAGGGCTGGGATTTATCGAGAATTCAAAGCAAGTGTCAGGAAAGTGCTAGCCAGAATGCAAAAATGAATACAATTCATTGCAGTATGGTTTGTACTTCAAAACTGTGCAAAAAAACCCAGAATGTCCAAGACCTCAAGCCAGGAAAATCTACTGGCAGCCTTTAGTTAGCATAGTAGCTGGTGAGTGTGCTCAGAATGTGAGTGCTGAAATTCATCAGATTTCCTGCAAAACATTTTATACTGTCCCAGTCCCGGGTAGCATTCATGTACAGACTTACCTGCTCTGGGAGTAGACCATGAGGAGCTGCCCACCCTGAGATATATACGGACCCAGAATGTTCACTGGACTTGCTCTGCCCCAGAGTCGTAACTCCACTTTCCTGGAAGAGAAATCCAGCTCTTCCTCGCTGACTTCCAACCTCTTCCATGAACTCTTCCCTGGTTATTCAGTCTATGTTGAGCTCTACCCTTTTCCAACCTGCTATAGCAAACACCTGTTTATTAAAACCAGGAGATTCTGAGTATTGTTCTATGGGTTTAACAAGACCACATCCCATCCTAAGCCAGTGTGTGCTGCTCTACAGCTAGCTGTCCAGGCAGGTGAGGCCATGGGAAGTGAGGTATTGCTGAGCTCCAGAGGGTACAGAGCAGAGTTCTGCAGACACACAGGCTGATGGATGACAGGACATCCAAAGACACGTTCAACTACTTTAAAATAGAAGCTCTCTTCTTGAGACAAGTCAGCCCGTGTTCAGCTTTGGTGCCTAGAAGTATGTGGTGTTGTGGTACAAAATGAGCCACAGATGAATGGCATCGTGTGCTTTCTGTAGAAACCTCCAAAGTTGTGCAGATCATAAGCCCCAAGGCATCCCTCCCTGTATCCTTGGATAACACCCTCCTTCTGTCTGTTCTCTCTCTCTCTCTCTCTCTCTCTCTGAATCTGTGATAGAACCTGTCAAGATCATTCCTAACAGATAACAAAGACTGATAGACTGAGACGTTGCCCTTTTCCCAAGTAATTTAACACAGGCAGAAAGTGCAAACCAATACAACAGAAATGTAATGATGAGAATGTAAGTGTCAATAAAAAGTTAAGAGGCTTTTCATTCTTGCAAGAGCTTTAGAGCTACCCATCACACTATTCCATATCAGTAGCAAACTATCCCCTCTGTTCCTAGTAAGTAGCTTCTATTTTTTTTTTTTCCTGTAAGCTTTGGGACATAGATGAACTCATTTAATCAGTGTAACAACTGTCATTTGAATGGTCCTCAGAAATGCATGTTTTCTTGGTGCTGAGACAGGAGTGAGAGGGGCAGTGCTGGATCAGGATCAGGGCCTCCGAACTCCCCACTTACACCCACACAGTCAGGGCAGGGTCTTACATGTGTTCTGACCTCATTCTCCTTATCTGCACAGTTGGAGATAGCAGCATTCCAGACATTATGGGGTTATTGTGAGCATTAAATAGATCACGCATATAAACTCTTAGAACATGCAGAGCATTTAATTAATGCTCAAGAAATGTTAGCTCCTATTAGTGAGATGTATTTCTAAATGGATGATGACATATTTATAGCTGGTGAACTGTAGATGTTTGGCACGTCTTCAGAATTTCGTTTGCTGGCTCTCTATAGAATATTTAGCATCAGAGGTAGGTCCTCTAAGCTTGAGGGTCATAATTTGCCCACCTTTTAAAAAAAATATGTAATGGGTGGACCACACCGTCTGCTTTATTCTTGATTTCCAGATGGACGCAATCCCTAAAGATAACTCTGTGTTATCTGAAAGAAGGAGAGAGCTCCACAAAGAAGTTGAAGTCGCTAAGAGGAATTTGGCCCAGCAGGTTAACATAAGCTCTTGTATATGCTTCTGTCTCAGAAAGGCAGTACAGTCATAGCGCTTTCAAGGGAGTCATCAGGGTAGCCTCCTGCCTCATGTGAACTGATTTCCTTTTCTCTCCTTTTTGCAGTACTGGGGATGGAATCCAGGGCCACCCACATTCTAGGCAACTGCTCACTACTGAGCCACATCCCCAGGGTTTCCTGAAACCAAAGCTCACTCCAACTCGACATTAAATTTGAGAAAAAAAGATACGTCTGAACTGGCAAAACTTATATAAGCCAATGAGATGTTGAAATAAAAGGGCTATTGATCACATTAAAAGTAAACACCAGGGTCTTGTATTACCAATGTCTAATTTAGAAACTCAATATATGGTTTATTCAAGCTACCACATATTTTAAAACATGTTTCTATGTTTCTTCTTACAGTAACTTGAAAATAGTCTAAGAAAAGATTCTATCATCTTAACCCACTGTTTTGCATGTTCTTTTATAAAACATAGGGGAGGGCTGGGGATTTAGCTCAGTGGTTCCAGCCCCTGCTTCGCAAGTGCAAGGACCCGAGTTCGATCCCCAGTACCAAGAAAAAGAAAAAAATATATATATATGGGAAATGGAGCCAAAACAATGGTGTTACTTTGTTTTAAATTTTACCAAATCTAAGCAAGAAATTAAAAGTCCAAAGTACTAGAAGTACTGTGTTCCTTCAAACATAAATTATAATTCTATTGTGCTTTTCAAAAGAAAGTTCTATCAGAAACTGAGTCGAAGTTACTAGAACAACAACTTGCAGAAGAAAACAGGCTTATAAAGGAACAAGAAAGCTTTCGGAATTTGGTATTCAACCTTATCCGTGTGATAAAAGTCAAAACTGATGAAAAGGAGCAAAAGTCCAAGGATTTCTTGAGAGCTAAGGTAACTGCATCTTTGTAGCCATGGTTAATTACTGCAAAAGGTCAGGGAAGCCTCGTTTTCTTGAAATGTTTATTAGAAAACAATAACAGTATATTTCCTTCATATCCTAGTGACTAAATTTTCCCTAAATGAATCCCAATTATGCACTGAAAACAATAATCCCACAATTCAATCAGCATTAGTCAGCAATCAAGAGAGGAAGAGAGAAATAATGTTATAGCTTGTATCTAGATGTCCCCCCAGAGTCTCATTCAGTCATAGGTGGGGTTTTCCAGAATTTAGCTGACCTGTGGTGGCTATGGATTGAGGGTGTGATACAAGGATTAAAGGCGTATGGTACTGGATTAGTGTACTCACTGGTTTGTCATAGTTATGGGTGTGGATATGGGAAGCCCCACTCTGGGTAAAGGTAGCACCAACCAAAAGGCTAGTAGCCTGGATGGAACAAAAGGGAAAGGAAGCCTTGCTCCTGCTGCTGCTGCTGCTTTCTACTTCCTGGCTGCTCTGCTGTGGACTGTTTCTCCTCTGATACCCACCTGCCCTGCCATCCTGCCTTGGAACCGACTATAGACTGAAACCTCTGCAAACTTGAGCCAAAATAAACCTTTCCTCCTTTAACTTTGGGTGTCAGATAGCTCTGTAAGGCAAGAGAGCAGCCAAGCAGGAAGGGGAAAGAGGCAGCCAGACTGAGAGGATGGCCAGGGGCAGGAGGAGCAGAGACCCAAGAGGGCGCCCCCTGTAAAGTCAGGGTCTAGAATGGGGCCAACTTGGACCTGTGTTCTCAAAACCACCTGCAACTGGCTTGGAGGAGTCCATACTCTGGAGTTTTCAGAGTTAAACTCTCCCTCTCTTTAGAAAATTTAGGAATGCTAGAGGTATACTTCATTGTGATAGAAAAACTGATGTGTTTAAGACATAGACAAGTTCTATTCAATCTCCAAAACCGATACATCTGTTCTCTGTGCATGACTCATCCATGCCTATCAAACCTGGTGTTAGACAAGCTCATTTATATTAAAAGCATAAGGCAATTCTTCCTTTGAGATACGAAAATTGATAAAGGAAAATGTTTATTCCTTGAGTATTTGAGGCATTGAGATTACCCTGTTAAACATTAGTTGCAGTTAGCTATAATTTTTATAAGAAGGCGTTAAACCTCATGCTTTTCCTTTCAGACCGCATTCCTTTTTTTAAAAAAAAAGGGGGTGGGGGTTGCTGTCACTCTAGGATAGAGTGGATGACACTAAATCATATGCCTATGTTCTGTTCTTCATACATAGTTACCTAAATGTTAGCTCTGGATTCCCACTCTCATGGAGAGTAAAATAAAATTGCTGTATACCAGTCTTGTCTCTGACAGCTTGCTTCTTCCAAATCGCTCATGCCAGACTCGTTTTGCTCACCGTCCATGCGAGAACGGACAGAACCTGTTCCCTCTGGTTCCTACCAGAAATGTCTCGGACTTTAATATGTTCTTTATCCTACCCTAGATGAAGGGCTCTTTTGTCTTTAAATCTGAAGAACATCTCCCAGTGTATTTAGCACTTGCTATCTTTTTAAGATTTTAGAGCTATAATTGCTTTCTTTTTGAAATATTTATAGATAGTCTTAGAGCTGGTCTAGAATCCTGCTTCATTATGTAGGAAAACACCCCTCAAACAAAAGAATAGAGCAGTATGTTAAATTCACTGCTTCTGTTGCTCACAAAATGCCACAAAAAGTTTAGTCTGCGGCATTTCTCAGAACTTTCCATAAACCTCTCCCGTCTGTCACCCAGGCTCACCCACACTGCCACTCTTCTCCCAAACTCTTCAGAACTCTTCCTCAAGCCCAAGCTGTGTATGCTCTTTTCTTTTTCTCCTCTCTCTTCCTCTTCCTTAAGTAAGCGGTGTCCTCCCAACATGAATCGGTTCAGAAAGCCAGGCCATTTTCAGACCTGCCCTGTGCCCCTTGCCCTGATAAGTAGTAGTCAACCACCAGGACAATTGTGCCTTTGTATATGAGGGTCCAGTGTGGGGTTTGGCCAGGTGGATTCATATGTTGTTACTATTTCTTACATTTCAGCAAAAATATAACAACCTTGTAAAGGAAATCAAAGCAAAGGATCTTGAAATCAGGGTACACAAGAAGAAAAGACGTGATATTCATCGGAGGTAAAAGAATCACATCATGATTGTTCCGTTTAGGTCCGTAGGGGAAAACCGATTTTCAGTTTGCATGTTTCACAAAACACTTTGTATTTTCCCAGGCTCAACGAATTTGCTAAACTGTATGATGCAATTCGAAATGAACGAAACAAGTTTGTTAACCTACTCCACAAAGCTCATCAGAAAGTAAATGAAATAAGAGAAAGGCATAAGATGTCTCTAAATGAACTGGAAATTTTAAGAAGTAGTGCAGTTACTCAAGAAAGGTAAAAGTTGTATCTATGGTCCTTTTATAGCCTTGGCTTCTATTTCGTTTGAACTCAAACATGACCCAGTGAGCACAAAATAGAAAATATGTCTTTTAGAGAGCTGGAAAAGCTCTCTTCAAACACTTTGCTCACAGATAATTAATGTAAACATCCGAACACCATTGCTTACATGTCTGTCTCAGAGTCATCACATTATGAATGAAAAATTTACATACAACTATGCTTACTGTGATGATTGGATGATTCTCTAATGCCCGATCAGAAAGGCACAAATCTGACCATCTGCAATTTGAAGTCAAAAAAAAGAACCAAATTGTTTAATAGTCAGCATCCCCTGGTTGTAGATTTAAAATTACTAAAATGTCCAACGTACTTGGGGGCAGCAAGACAGCAGAACGGTCAGGAGGAGCACTTCCTCTCAAATCCCAGCCCTGCTGCTTATCAGCTCTGCAACCTCAGGCAAGCGACCTTCACTCTCTTGGGGCTCGCTTTCCTTGTCCAAGAAAATGTCCTTATTTCATAGGGCTTTGGGTTATTCAATGAGCTAATCTTTGCACTAACACTCAGAAGCACATCTGGCAAATGGTAGTTTTGTTAACTTCTTACTTACCTGACTCTCCAGCCCTGACTTTTTCCGTGAGCTGTTAAGGCCCCATTTTGTTTTAGCAAAGACGGCCTCGTGGTGGTGGTGGTGGTGGGGTGAGACCCTAACAACATAAAGTGAAGTACCACTGCCGGAGCTCACTGTTCTCATTCCAAGGACACGCCGGAGCAGGAGCTATTTAGAGCCACTTGTGTTTCTTTAAAGAAAGGAAAGAGCATTGCAATCTTACCTACTTTCCCAATATTTTAAAAGAAAGCTACAAAATAGCTTGCTGAAACAGGCCAACAACATCACCATCAGAGAGAGCATGAGAAACGACGTGTGCAAAATTGTGTCCAAAGTTCAGGAAATGAAAGAGAAGAAGGAAGCGCAGTTAAGTAACCTGGACAGACTGGCGCACATGATCACTGTGATAGAGGAGGAGATGGTGCAGCTTCGCAAAAAGTACGAGAAAGCTGTCCAGCGGCGAAACGAATGGTAAATACCAGACACAGGTAGAGAATGTGGGTCCTGGTTTCTGTATGTTGGCCCTTGGGGATGTGAGCACGGCAGGTGAGAGACATGCCATTCGGGTTTCCTTAGCCTTTGAGAGGAGGCAGCTGCGTGGTTTGCCTAGCAGTAAGAAACACTGTCCTTGCCACAGGTACAGGCCAAGAGGAGGGTTCGGGAAGTTGCTCATCTGAAGATCACAGCCTTTCTGCAACCTACCATTCAGGATGCCTCTGGTGGTGGCATCAAATCCTTTCCAAATAGCTGACATAAATAAATCTTTGGCGCTTGTATCCATTTTGATGGCAAGCTTGGCCTTACATTTATCCAGCTATTCTCCCAGTTCATTTTCTCAGAGTCCAAAAGACCTTTAAGAAACAGCATTATCTCTTCTAGACTGCAGTTAAGCCATTTAGCAGTTTGCTATTTCAACAGCCCAAGTTGCTTGTGCTCTAAGGAACTGGAACGTGAGATTACAGAGCAATCATGCCTGATGTGGGAATTTTTAAGATTATACTCTGTCGGCTAATCCATGTGAGACACTGGGGCGCTAGATCTCAAGAGAATGCAAAGATGGTCAAGCTGCCCATTGTTAGGAGAACTTGATCACAGGAAGAGCCTTTGACAGAGAGATGGGACAAAATACAGAGCTACAATTAGCCAGGCACGGCTCTGTGCGTATGTTTGGAGGAAGGAGAAAGGGACAGAGATAGAAACAGAAATGGAACTCTAGGTAATAAAGGTACTGTATAGGACCATTAGTGTCCCTGAAGAAAAGCCCTGTTCAAAGAGCTGACAGATTTTTGGAGGGTGGATAATCCTAGTCGGCTCCTGCCACAAACCAAGGCATTTGGGCAATTAATGCTTCTGCCCTGGTCAGACCAGAGCTGCTAGACTTAGAGGATTATTTGCTTCCTTTCCTTCATCTCCTTTCAAAGAAGGGTCTTCCAACCTCCACCTACCAGCAGGTTTTACACAGGGCTGATTTTTGCCTGATTATGGGGAAATTAGCAACTGAAATATCCAGCTTTAAAAGAACCCTTGGGAAATCCGATCCAGAACGGGGTCTACAGAAAACCAGACCGTGGAACCTTTGTGTGTGCACTGGGAGGGACGGTCTCCCCCGCACCCCGGGGAGAACCTCTGGGACCACAGCAACGCTAGGCCAACCAACTGCAGGGGCAGCCTCAGAGCTAAGGTGCTAAACAGCCCCGCTGTTCCCGCCAGGCTGCAGCTTCCCCAGTAAGCCTTGCTGATAGCTCCTTCCTTCGGGGTGACACGGCAGATGGCTATTCCGTGCCCAAAGCCAGAGAGAGGCACAGTGACTAATAGAACAGTGGACCCAGCGCTCACTTAGCTTCTTCCCCTGAATTTGACCTTAGTGGCGTTCAGCTGATAGAGCGGGAAGAGGAAGTGTCCATATTTTATGAAAAAATAGACATCCAAGAAAAACTGAAACTAAATGGGGAAATCGAAATCCACATTCTGGAAGAAAAGATCCGGTTCCTGAAGTTGAAGATTGCGGAGAAGCAAAGACAGATTCACGTGTCGCAGAAATTACTGCCGTCCAAGAGGGCCCTGGACGCGGAGCTCGCCGTGCTCCAGATTCAGGTGGGACCCTGGGCCAGGCGTCCCTCTCCCGGGCTCAGGTGTGGAGCATGCGCCTTCAGGGACCTGTCTCGACCTCAGCAGCCCAAGGCGCTCCCCTCCCAGCCTGACTCTGCTGTTGATGCTTACTGGGAAGTTTGAGGACCTTCAGGCTCCTAGGTGTGGTGTCCTGCACTGCCTGGCGCGGAGCTCATTGCTTATCCCCTTGCAGTCACGCACAACGAGACACCTTTTTGTCCCCTGTAATTCCTCTACCGTGCCGTTAACTGGCCTCTGACACAGCCTTTCTTTAAAGTGGAATAAAGCCCCAAATATTTAAATATGCAATAACAAAATTAAAACACGAATATAAGACTAATGTTTTCACATGTAACAGCTTTTCCCCCCTTAATAGAAAGGGGGAAAAAACCTCTAAAAACAAATTCCTGGCCTAAATGTCCCTGGTTGACTCAATGTAGCAGGAACAAATTCTAACCTGTAGTGTTTTTCTAGTATATCAGGTGAGCTTTCGGTGATTTTCTGGTTATAAAATCAAGACCTGTTCAGTTAGTGAAATATTAGAAAAGTACAAGACTTTTAAAAGAAAATTCTATCTGCGAAAAATTTAAGAATTAGTCTTAAAGTGATCAAGCACCTAGGAGAGAGTCTTCCCTTCTTTCTCCCAGTGCACAGGTAAATGTTTTGTGTGCACTCTGTAGACACAGCCTTCAATCCTCCGTTTTCTTAGCCAAATCCCAGGACTTCTCGGACCTGGGCGAGGGGCCGTTTTCCCACCTCATGCTGTGCTGTGTCCATGTAGGTGACAGCACCTTCAGTTGTGCAAATCCACCCAGGTCCTGGCTCTAGTGTGTGCCTGGGCTGTTAGCCATAAACACTTCTGTCTCTTCCGTGGGCGAAGCCTGGTTTCAGATGCAGTGGTACAGCGTCCCCCTCGGCCCCCACAGCGTCTCCCTAGGATTTCTGGCTCATTTGGGGGATCCCCTCACCAGCCCCTAGAGTGTCTGTTCCGCTTCTGTGCCACGCTGGTGCAAATTCCAGACTGGCCCCTCCTTCCTTCTACACCTGTGCAAGGCTGTTTGTACAGGGCCTTTGGACAGATTTTGTTAAAGATGTGGGACAGTGTTGTGTGGAGTTGGGTTGCAGGAATGCAGGGAACTTCAAATTATGTCTCAGAAATCCACAGCCCTCCGAGTCATTTGGGTTCACTGGGGGAGGGAGCTCCCCCACGTGGTACCACCCAGCCTGCTGGGAACTAGTACTTGCTGCAGTTTATGGAGTGATTTGTTTCTCTCCCACTAGTTCTCAAAACACAGCTTTAGTCTGCCTTTGCCCGTCCTTGACTATCAAGATGCTCTGTAGAACGGAAGAATTTAAAGTCAGTAAGATCTAACTGGGCGTGGTAGGACCTACTATGCCTTTAACAATACTATGTGCCCTGCTGGATGGTGAGCATTTGTCAGTTGAAAACTGCATATAAATTGAGATGTGTGGGCTAAGGGTTATCCGTGACCTACGGGTCTACCAGGGTTAATTCTAAGTTTAAGGAAGTAGAATGGAATTCTCTCGTTCACGTTCACTATGCAGTAGTCTAGTGACCACTGATGGCGTGTCTGGAAGGACAGGAGGTGTCAGGTTTGTCTCTGACCCCGAGGCCCAATCTTGGTCACATTCTGTTATTTGTTTCAGCTGCAGTGAAGTTTTCCTTTTCCTTGTATCATTTTCAAGACTTAGAAGAGTTTTTAAGTGTCCAACAGACTAACCCAAGGCCTATCATGAGTCATACTCTCCTGGTTCTGGGAATAACAGCTCCATTTTAGGCAGTTTGGAAGGCCCGAGCTACTTTAGGACTTTGGGATTCTATTTTCTACAGAGAAAGTAAACAATTTTTCCTCAAATGCCAGGGAGGAAATAAAGTTTAAGGCACTACTTTAATAAGCAAGCATCATATTTTTGTTTTTTTAGTTTATAATTAACACTGTTGTTAGTAATATATACAATAATTTTTCCTGTTCACTTTTTTAAATGTTTAAATGAATTTTTATTAGTGCCTATCAGTTTTACAAAATATTGTGCTTCAATGAGTACATTTTGTTCATAACCATCCCCCATTAGCCTCCTCCTCCCTCCCTTCCTCTCCTCCAATAATAATTCTACCTTCTACCTTCATGCCATCTTTTAAGATTCCACACATTAGGGAGAACATCACATAGTTGTCTGGGTCTGGCTTACTTTGCATAGCAGGATCTCCCAATCTATCCATTTCCCTAAAGATGACATAATTTCATTCTTCGTTATGGCTGAATAATGCACCAATCTGTATATCAGAGTTTATCCACTAGTCTGTTGTGTGCACCTGGACTTCTTCGATGCCTTGGCTATTATGAATCGCGCCACGATAAACCTGAGCACACAGGTATCGCTATGCTAGGCTGGCTTTAATCCCTGCGGGTATGTACACAAAGACAGTCCAGCTGGATCCAGTGGTAGCTCTATTTTGTTGTCGATGATGTTTTTTGGGGAACCTCCATCCCAGTTTCCACAGGGGCTGTACTAGTTCGCATCCCAGCAGCAGTGTAGAAGCATTCTTCTCTCCCTCCCCCATGCCTGACAGAATTGATTGGCTTTTGTATGCTTGGTGACAGCCATTCTGACTGGGATGAAATGGAATCTCATTATAGCTTTGATTTGCATTTTCCCAATGGCTAAAGATGTTGAACATTTTTTCATGTACTTATTGGCCATTTGTACTTCTTTGGAGTTTGTTCAATTCATTTGCTGATTTGCTGATTGGGCTATTTGATGTGCATGTGTGTTAAGTTTTCTACATTCTTCATATATTTACATATTAATCTCTGTTGAAAGAATTGCTGGTAAAAATTTTCTCCCATTCCCTAGGCTGTCTTCACTTTGTTGGTTGTTTCCATGCTTGAGCAGAAGATTTTAAATTTGAGGTAGTCTCATTGGATTCTTGCTATTATTTCCTATGCTGCGGGGAGTCCTATTCAGAAAGCCTTTGTCTGTGCCTATTGCTTCAGGTGTTTCAGTGTTGCTTAGCAGTTTCAATGTTTCAGGTCTTCGTTATATTTCTTGTTGCTGAGACAAAATACCCAACACCCAAAATTAAAGAAAGGTTTATTTGGCTTACAGTGTGTACAGGTTTCAGTACCTAGTCGGCTGGCTCCAAGGCAGGGTGGCATGGCAGAAGGGGCATCACAGGAGAAACAGTCCATGGCAAAGCAGGCAGGCAGTGAAGTAGCAGCCAATAAGTGAGGGGCCTCTTTCTGTCCCAAATCTCTTAAGCAGGCTCCCTGCCCTTAAGGTGGGCAGCACTCACATGCCTAATCCCAGTGTCCTTAATCCTAGCATTGCACCAGGACTCAATCCCAGCATCACACGCTCTAGATCCCGCCACCTCTGAAAAAGCCGCACCTATAACCCATAAGGCCTTGGGGGGATATCTGGACACAAGTCTCAGCTGGTCTTATACCTAGGTCTGATTCATTTTGGACTTTTGTAGAGTAAGGAATGAAGATCTAGTTTCAATATCCTACCCCAGCACCATTTATTAAAGAGGCGTCTTTTCTGCAGTGTGTATTTTTGGCTCCTCTTCAACAATCAGATGGCTGTAGTCGTGTGGGTTTATTTTTGTGTCCACTATGGACATTTTTATAATAGTAATTGTGCTGATCCGTGAATATGGGGAGTATTTCCATCCTCTAGGGTTTTCAGTGTCTTTCTTCAGTGTTCTGTGATTTTCACTGTAGAGGTCTTCCACCTCTTTGGTGAGGTTGATCTCTAAGGGTTGGGTTGGGTTTAGTTTTTTAGGCTATCGCGAAGAGAATGGTTTTCCTGATTTCTTTCTCAGCTACTTCTTTACTGGTGTACAGAAAAGTTATTGAACTTTTAATGTTCACTTTGTATCCTGCAACAAGCTCTTCATTGTATGTAAACTTCAATTTTATATTAAAGTTAATTGAAGAAGATGAGTAAACAGAAAACAGTTATGTCACCATTTAAAATTATTTTTACAGGGAAGAGAAACACCAATTAAAACTTTAACATCTTACCTGTGTCACTCTTGGGCATACTGTTAAATATATTGTCTTGCTCAATGTATCAGGCCCATAAACCTGAGCCTTATCTTCCTGTGTGCCAGTTGAGGACACAGAATAAATGATTTCATTGATCACTCACAGACTCTCAGGAAAGCTGAATATAGTGCCTCTTGGTTGTTGCCATATACTACAGTTCTCCTTGTCACACAAAAGCTAAGTGCGGCTACCATACTACTTAGGAGTTGCCATGGTCCTCACTCTCAATGAGTCTCAATGATTCAGCAAATACACAGTTATCTCATAAGGTCCTATGTTAGGGACTTAGCAAAAAATATACAATGTTTGAGGTTGTTTCTCAGAGTGTACACTCTGAGTCACTCATCACTGAGACACCATTAAACTTACCCCAACAAAGGATTTCAAAATGGCAGCCAGCGTGTTGGATGGTGGCTACTCTGCTCTCTGTGGCAATCTCCAACAAAGAGGGGGAAGGCTGCACATTGTGAACCCAGCAGCTACACAGCACCCCAAGCTTTCTCTGATGGCTCAGAATTCTGACACCGCCTGGTCTTGCAGAGTCAAATCTAGATGTCATCCTCATGGCCCCATACACAAGCAGAAATAGCACTTAACCCCACGTATATGAAGAGGTTAAGCAAACAAAGTTCTCCTCCGCCTTTGCTGGGTTGGTCCTGCTCAGGAACTCTAGAGACCCTGACTATGGAATTTTAAGATTGCCAAGCTAAAGAGTCTTAAAGCTAATGTTTATTTCTTGTTTAATAGTTTTCACAGTGTACAGACAGAATAAAAGACCTGGAGAAAAAATTTGTAAACCCTGTGGGTAAGAACAGAACTCGCCTCCTTCCAGGGAAAGATCTGACCCAAGAAGAAATGATCAAAAAATTAGATGAGGTAAACATCCTGCTTAAAATGGCGTCTCTTTACTCCTTGTCAACAGTTTCTTGGATGCCTGTTGACTGATTCATGTTGGGCTGACAGGCCTATCTTTGTAATTACAGCCACTTAGCCTTTTGATGTAATCTAGTAAATTCTCAGCTTGACTTGTCTACTTTCCAAAAGAAGTCAAAATCCAGTGGTTTCAAGAATCCCAAAGCACCTTTCTGTTTGGTCCAAAGGAGCACTTTTGCCTTCTTGAATGGGTGACTTGTTTTCCTGGTGGGATCATATCAGAACACGGCAGCGTGGAGAGCAGACAGAACTGGGAGAGCCGTGTCTATGGTGCGGGAAGAACTTGCAGAGCTCTCTGGAAGGGGCCGGGGCAGAGGAAGTGGGGCTCACTTTCCAGAGGTATTTAAGCCACTGAGGAGCCACTGTGTCCCACTGCAGGGGCTTGGGAGGGGCCAGCTAGCACTCTAAGTAGGAAAAGAAGTCCGGGCTTCCGATGACTTTTTTCTTCCCATTGAAATTGTTTTTGTCTGCAGCTGGAACTGCAGCTGGCCAAGAAGGAGGAGAAGTTACTGGAGAAGGATTTCATCTATGAACAGGTGTGCCGGCTCACAGACAGGCTATACAGCAAAACTGAGGCCTGCAAGCTGGACACACTGCACTTGGCCAAAAAGGTCAGCCTGGGAACCTGTGTGCTCTTCCCCGCTACTCTTAATATTGCCTTTCTTCTCCAGACTGCTGGACTTGTTGAGAAGCCCTGGAGAGATCAGGCATTAGGACAGAGAAACATAAAAGTGTACACAGGACTCTGAAAATTGTCCAAAACATGTTTCTCCATTGTTCTGTGAGAGTTCACTTCACAGTGAGAAACCCTATTCTCTTCCATGACAGAACAGAGGTCCACGTAGCAGGGTGCTCACTCAGCGATCACAGATGTCACCTTTGTTAAGCCACACATAATGTTAAATCCTTCCTAGCTCTTCCTGAGTAGAGGGTCCCACTCATCAGTGGCCTGAACTACTGCTCCCTCCAAAGCTTGGCCAGGACCCACGAATGGAGTGCACCCCAGAGAAAGGAACACTCCCTGCAATATCCAGGCTGACTGCACTGTAGGTGGGGCCACCACCCGGCACCGCTCCCGAGAAAGGCTGGGGACAGGGAGGCTTCCTCATGGAATGAGCCAAAGACACCCGCACAAGGACGTCGGAGCTGCGGGGACAGGACTGCAAGAAGCCACCCTGAAAGCAGCAGCCAATAGGATGGAGCTCGGTGATTCAGAGGCAGCAGGACCGGGGCAGCATGATGAGCAGGGACGGGACAGGTCACTCACCCTGCATCCGCTGTCCCCCAGAGCAGCCCGGAAGCCACCAAGCAATAGTGCACTACTCCCAAGCTAGGCCTGAGGGCAGGGACACAGGCGTGGGCACACTGTTCCCAGCAGATGAGGCTGTGGAGTGGGGGGCACCTACACCCCCACAGTGTGGCCTCTGGTGGGCAGCAGTAGTCCCATTCTTAGTTTCCCCAGTGCCTGGCATGTAACAGGCCCTAGAAGAACAAGTAAATGAGTAAAAACAGGCCTGTTCCGTTTTGGCACAGGAAATAGGAAGGGATAGTAAATTTCAGGCTCTTGTCACTGTTTTTAGCTGGACTTTTGCATTTCTGCTCTGATGACTTCCACTAATAAACTGATCAGACCAGGCGCAGTTGCAAAATTCACAACCTTTCCTCGTAAATAAGAAAGCTCATGAACATTGGCTGAGTTACCCACCCCACGTTTCTGAAAAAGTTGCCTGCCTGCCTTTTATGGAGAATTTCCCTTTCTCAGACGGAGGCACTTTGCACTGAGGGTGGATTTGTCCAAGCTGATGGCAGACTCTTTAGAAGGCACTCAACTTGCCAAAGAAATGCAAAGGTGACACTTTGTAGGAAGGCTCTCAGCACAGCCAGCTGAGGGACAAACTGATGAATGGTAAAATTAAGCCAGAACTTGGGCAGCAAGAGCACTCTTTCTCCTTTCCTTTTCCCCTCTTAATATATTTTTTTCTTTTCTCCTTTCCTTTCCTTGTCCTTTTTACACAGCCAGTGTTGGGCTCAATCCCCGCAGTCCCGTTCAGTTATTTCCCGTAAACTCCAACTTAGCCCTCCTTCCTGCCAGCAAGAATGCCCCCCTTACCACAGACACCCAGAAGTCTGCCATTTTCTTCAAGTCCCCGTGGAATGTGAGCATCGACTAAACCGTGGGCTCTTTACTTCTAGATGAACGGCTACCAAAGAAGGATCAAAAATGCTACAGAAAAGATGATGGCCCTCATTGCTGAGCTGTCCATGAAACAAGCCTTGACCATTGAACTCCAGAAAGAATCCAGGGAGAAGGAAGAATTCATTTTCTCTTGCAATTCCAGGATAGAAAAGGGTCTGCCACTCAATAAAGAGATTGAGACAAAATGGCTGAAGGCACTTCGAGATGAAGAGATGTACACCACGGCGGTGGCTGAGAAGTCCCGGGTAAGCTTTAGCTGCATACTGCCTTTGTCAAATGGGCCAGGAGGGGCTGTTTTCAGAGGCTCAATCCTCCCATGATAGCGGTTCACTCTCTTATCAGAATGCTCGGGGCCAGAGGGGTTGTGGATTTTCTCAGCTTTTGGAATACTGGCATACATGTGATATCTCTTGGGGATAGGACCCAGATCTAAACATGAAATTCATTCGTGCTTTGTATACACTGTATGCACATAGCCTGAAGGCCATTTTATACCATCATTCTAGTGCACCTATAGCTGAACTGCAGTTCATCTCACCCAGTGATCAGTGCTCAAAAGGATTAGGACTTTGGGGCATTTTGGATTTCAGGTTTGGGGATTAGGGATGCTCAACGCTCAATCGCCTATAAATGAGGAAATGTCCATTCTTCCACACATGTAGTCCTGGAGCCATTAGAAACTTGCTATTTAGAAAAGTGAAAGCCCAACAGTCCAAAGTGCCAGTGCGAGTTTAGTACCCCATTCTCCTGCCTATCGCCCTAAACTTTCAGTAGTTTAAGACTGGAATTAGGCCTCTCTCTCTTTCTCATCAAAGAGACTACTTGGGGATACAAGCAGACTGTCAAGCAAATGTGACTACTACCACTACTTACTTTTAAATTCGAGAAAAACAAGCATTCCAAATGTGCTCTGGAGAAATACCTGAGCACAGGGTCTGACTTGTGTCACAGACACAGAAATAGTACAACTTGATGACAAAGACTGCAGCTGGGCCCCACTGAGCAGTTCTGATAAACCCTCACCTGCAGCACCCGTGTGCCTGAGCAATGCAGCCCTTTCCTGGGGCTGGGCCCGGGGTGGGGACTGTCCATTCTCCTGTCCCTTTGGGGGAATCAGCCAGCACAGCCCAAGGCTGCTCAGACTCAGCTGTGTCTTCTGGGACCCAAGGCTGAAGTGACTTCAGCATGTTCAGGAAACTGAAAGGGAAACTCCTTCTTTGCTCCTAGGAGTTCTTAGAAGCCGAGAACCACCAGCTGCCCAACGGCATCTACACAACTGCGGAGCAGCGCCCGAATGCCTACATCCCCCAAGCAGACGCTACTCTGCCTTTGCCGAAACCGTACGGTGCTCTGGCTCCATTTAAGCCCAGCGAACCTGGAGCCAACATGAGGCACATAAGGAAACCTGTTATAAAGCCGATTGAGATCTGAGTGTATGAATCAGTCCAGGCTCCCGAGAGAGAGGATCCAACCGGGCTTCTTCATACCTATACCTGGGGAAAGGGAGTGCGACGCTTCTAACACTGCAGATAAGAGAGGGAGTTGTCCACAGAGTGCAGCAGTTTGCTGTGATAACCACCAGCTACTACCTTTGACATTGCATTCAGTAGGACATAGAATCGTCCTGCACTTATGTGAAAGCGTTCATCAGAATTGCTCCTGTAATTCCTTTCCACTCTACTGACAATTAGAAATATGTAGTGTGCAAAGTGCTGTCAAAGTGCAAAATAAATGTTCCATGAAGTACAGAAAGCACAAGGGTCTTTATTAAAGAAAAAACACATAGGGTTGCATGCGTGTGCTCTAAAAAGACAGAGTGACAATCTGAAAAGGGACTGTCCTGCGTGTTAAAAGGGTACAGCTTACTTTGCTGAGGAAAAAGTGGCCCTGGAAATCATGTTGGTAAAACTAAACCAGATAAAAAGCAGCAGGAAAGCTGGTCATTTCCAAAGTAACATTGATTACATTTGACAAGAATACTTTTGCTGTAAAAATGTTCATGCCTGATTTATCTTCCTTTTAAATTCAGCTATTTTACAATGCTATCTGAAAATAAATTCACTATCTTAAGCTCTCACATCAGGTTTTTAAAAAATCTCAAAATACTAGTAATTTTGCATGTGACAGACTTGAAAATGGGAACAATTCTGCTTTAATTGTATTGCATTTCACACAACTGATTTCCTAAATGAAATATTTTCTCATCGACATGATACACAAGTAGGTCTGAAAGCTGTGCTTTTGCACTCACTAATGTGCTGAAGCTCTTTCGTACTGGTAGCAGTTATGAATTTTATTTTACAACTCTGGGAATAAGAAATACTACATCCTTTAATTTTGCCAAATCAAACATTCTGTTCCAAGCCCCTATCCTGCCAAAGCAGAGCCAAATTTAACCTCATTCTCATTCTGTGAGTCCTGAATCTGTCGTAAAGGAACTAGGAACTATGTGGGAGTCCCTCTGATGGGTAACACTGTATAAGCTGTGGTTAACAAGAAATACTGCGTAAACACAGTTGCTGTATAGTGGGAATCAGTAACCTCTTCAGGGATTCAAAAACTAGGCACATAGGAAGTTTAAACAACATAAGCATGGAAACATTTAAATTCACAAAGGGATGGAGGCTAAAATAGTACAGAGTGCTATGGGTTGAAAGAAGGCAGGGTCACCATGTGCAGAAATGGCCTGGAATAAGATTAATAGACAAAAGTTGTGTTCAAGGCCCAGTGAGCTTCCTTGGCTGCACAGAATGTTCATCCTGTTAGGGTTGGGGTTTGGGAGAGTTGAATGTCATGGGGTTCAAATTTTATCATCTAACGAATGAATAGCAAGTTATTGAAGGGTTATGAGCCCTGTTCATCTCAAATATATATGTTCCATATATTGGGCCCTAAGAAGTGACAGAAACAATCCAAGTGTGAAATGAAAGAAAGCAGGAAATGAAAGAAAAGCCCTTATGAAGAGAAAGAATCAGCAACTCATTGCTGATTTGGCTCCAAGATTTCGAGTCAAACTGACTATGAAGTATTTTAACAAAAAGAGACATTCTAGAGGCAAGGGGCTTTATAGGCCACATTGGGGATTTTTAGAAAATAAGTTACATTATTGTACTAGCTAATCATTAAAATCTCACAAATGTGCTTGAGAGAAACAGTGTAATGGGAGAAAAGCAAAGGGTTATGGGCCAACCCTGCGGAGGTCCCAAAGGAATTACCATGGTGGGGTGGGGAGAAAAACAGTACACGAGGTAGTGAGGTGCCACCGGGCGCTTTTCGAGGAGAAAGTTCATGGGCTCAAAAGTCCTGAATGGAGTAAAAAGACTCGGTTTAAAAGCAGGAAGAGTCAGGCCCAGGCTTTCAGCATTTGGGTTTTTTTAATGACAAAATTTAACCAAAGTTTTATAAATATAAAAAAAAAAATTAAATACAGTTCCATCTGAACCATCGCAAAGACAAACCTTATTCTAATTACTGTATGTACAAATCGCTCACTATGTTGCAAGTTATTCTGTATCAGAGATAGCAGATTTGATTCAGTCCACATTTTTAGAAGAACTCTCTTTCCAGGTAATGCTCTTTATGCAACACTGACTTTTTCTGCTCATGCTATTTTCAGTGACATATCTGGTTTTTGCTGTCCTATGCACTCAGCATCCCACGACATTTTTAAAGGACGTTTTGTTTCAGAGTACGGTGGAAGCTAGCTTTTGGCCCACTGAGCCAGTCGAACAGCACTGCGCCTGCTGTTTCCCACCTGGGCCTGTCTGTCACTCCTCTGCGCTGGACTGCTCGTCAGCTGCTCAGAAGTGGAACGAGAGACAGCAGTTTTGTCCTGCCCAGACACGTACAAAACTAAAACTCAGATGATTGGACAGTATTTTCTGCTTTGTCCACTTTCAGATACTGCTACAGAATTCCCAAGAAGGGGAAGGTTCACGAGTGACATGAAAATGTTGGAAACCGATGGGACTGCACTGTCTCCTTTACAAGCCGAGAAGCACCGTGGTGTGCTTTAGAGCTGCTTCTTCCACAAATTCTGCATCCACATTGTCATGTCCTTCGAGGTCATTCAGAGCTGGGGGGAAGACAGAGGGGATGTGCTACCTTGGAGCCATGGAATATTTATAAGTTCGTTTCCCACCCCTTACTGCAATCACGAATATCTTACGTTTTAGTCAAACACATTCTGAGAATTTCGTTAACCTTCAGCTCCAAGGAAAGGCCTTCACGTTTGCAACCCTTTAAATCCTCTTAAAACTTCAAGGGCGATTAACCCTTTGGTAATTTACACAGCAAACCCGTGTCCCTAATGCAAATCGAATGCGCTCTAGACTTCTTTGTAAATAAGGGGCACACCTGGGGCAGGGCACACCTGCGGCGGGGCACACCTGGGGCGGGGCACAGTGCACGGATGTGGGAAGGGAGGAACTGACGTGCCCAGGGAGCACAACGAAAACCTTGTGAATTACCTTGAGTGGAAGACTCCAGTCTGGTCAGAATTTCAATCAAGTAGTTCAGAGGGAGGAAGTCTATGCTCAGTGATGACTTGTTGATCACAGAAGTCCAAGGCTAAAAGGGAAACCGCTTCTGGTATTAGTTGATTCTCCCAAGCAAGCCCACATTGGAATTGCTGTCTGCATGAATATATTAAAACAGGCACATAGGACGCAGAAAGCCTATAGTGGCTATGCATTGGCACAGACTCACCTGCTTCTTATAGTTCTTCAGCATTCTGGTCACGTGGTTCCGGGAAATGATGATGGAACTCACAGGATGATCCCAAAGTCGATAGATCTTCCGCCCAATGAGCTACCATGCAATTGAAAAATACACAGAGCAGACTGTATCTCACAGTGCATTAAATATACTCCAAATTTATGCACAATCTTGAAAGTACTATTCCACAGTAGCTTATTTCTATTCTAAGACTCTCGATGATTAACGATCCTTGGAGAAAGGCCAGGCTCCAATGAGGTGTGCTTCTGAATTTTGAATAAATACTCCCTGAAATGCCACCTTGAAGAAAGCAGTTTATACACTGATACCACTGACTTCTTTTTCTGAAATCAAATTTACCTGCTCTTCTTCAAAACTGGAGATGGGCATGCCAACGTGAGGTGATATTTTGACTGGAAACTAAAGGCTGAAGTCTTGTTTAATCAACTTCTCTGCCATGTCTTGCCTATGAAACTTTAATTCCCTAAGAGTGTGGGACTGGGGAGATCACGTTTGGACAGCAAACTAAATGCTCAGCAACCTTCCCCAGAGAGACGAAGCCGTAGAAAATTGGCTTAGTTCTCTATTTTTGCCTTTGCTTCAGTCAGCCTGTGAGGGAGGGACTGTTACAAAGCAAGACCATTAGGTCCAGGAAGACCACAGACGCCCCTGTGGGGGACAGTGACAGAGGTACAAACACTTATAGTCTGTAAACAGTGGACGTGGCTGCCCAGCTACTGAGGCTCAGCGACCTTGCTATGGAATTTCATATTTCATAGGATTTCTGCCTCTAAGAGCTAATATCCCCCACAAAAAAAGAGGACGGTGTTCCTTTGTAACTACTTCCCTTCATGTTTTTCATTGTTCCTCTGATCTACGGATGTTTTCACGCTGGCAGAAACATAGGATGAACTGGAGTTCCAGAACCTTCTGACCTCACCTGTATTGCAATTTCTTGTCAGTTCAAATGCCAAAAGCACGTTTCCCCTCTCCCTCCTCCTCAGACTCAGATATAAATAGTTCAGTTTCCTAAGAGGAGAACACAGCTAAGTGTTCTGTGGATAATTCTAATAAGAGGGAAAGCTGACAGGGGCGGGGACAGATGGGATTCTTGGAAATGGCTTGAAAGTAAAATGATTCAATGGATTTAGCTAAAAGCAAGTCATGCTCCTCTTACAAGAAACTGAAGGAGAACTGTGCCAAGGATTAGGGAAAATAAAATTCAGGGTTACCGGAGGAAGCCGGACAATGATGCTGAATTTTAGTTTTTCATTTTTCTCTGTATTGTCCAGATCTGCAAGAAAGTTGGGGATTGGAGGGAAGAAAACGAGAGAAAGAAAAAAAAAGTTATTGTAATCTAGCATATTTCTACAACTATAACTTAGTATAATTTAGTACAATTGTCTTATGTATTTTATAGTTTTTGGCCTATTAGTCTGGCTGTTAATCTGAATTTATAATAATTTGATAAAGATTGATAAATGAATCTGATACTGGCAAAAAAATTTTAAGGGGGTGGAGAAGGGCACAAAAACAATTGAGATGTGTTATGTACGTGTACCAATTCCCCATAAAAATTAACAATTATTTTTAAAAAAGGGATTGGCAAGAAAGAAAAATACCTACCTACTTTAATACTTCACAAATTCTTAATATGTAAGTGGTTGCTCTTGGTAATGCATTTTCCAACCTTATATCCTCAAGCTAATCTAACAACACTTTAAAAATTTTTAGTTGGTGCCTGAATAAAAAGGGACTTTTTTATAACACACGACATCAGTCATACAAAGTAGTTTTATTGACTAACTTAAAGCATTAGCTACTTTGAGAAATGATAAACACTTCAGTCTATATTAACAAGCTTCACCTGTCAATGCACTGCAGCTGAATGACCACTGATAACAGGACGGACCTATGGAAGGTCAAATTCAGAGTATTACATTGTCATTGGGTTTGTTCCCCCCCCCTCATTGAGTTTATTGGTACACTTTAGGTATACAGTACAGTTACATTCATTATTGGGATCTTGTACCTTTACATGACAGGTCTTGGTTCTCATTTTTTCCCCTTGTCTCTGCCCTCCCTTCACCCCTCCTCCCCTCCCCCTTTACAAACACTTCATGTCCATGTTTGCATTTTCTCATATTTTTTTCTTTTCCCTTATTCCCCTACCCTTCCCACTTTCCCTACTCCTTTAGCCCCTTTCTTCCTATTTCACATTGTCCATTATGTCACTAGGATCTTATGTACTCTTATAGTTTATTCACACCAGAGAAACTATTCGGTATTTACACGTGTGACTTATTTATTTCACTTAGGAGTCACTGGGTTTTCTTGCATTTTGAGTCTGACTCTGAGATGATGGAGTTAATAAGCTGAAAATAAGCCATTTTTGTGACACTTTCTTGAGAAACAAGCCAAACCCTAACCCTCAAGTACGGAAAAGGAATCTAGCAGCTGTGTGGATCCACAAACCCCCGGGATGCAGGCAGGGTTAAGGCCCTCTCTGCTGGCCCAGAGCAAGGTTCTGAAATGGACTGCTCTCAACGGCACCAGCGGCGTCACTTCTGGGGCGCGGGGCGCAGTGGGAACAACGATGTCCATGTTCACGAGGGAAGATGGCAGGTTCTCTGCAGGAACCCTTCTGAGTGCCGCCGGGCCCGGGTGACTACACACATCTCACCCCAGAGAGCCGGGCTGGAGAACACAGAGCCTCTTACCCTTCAGGAGCCTCGTGACTGCCGTTTCGGTGAGAAACAGCACTCCATTGTCGATGTAATGCAGCAGGCTGTGCAGAGGGAGACAGTGGACCCCAAGGATGGTGTGCAGGGTGTGAAAACCTAGGGCGAGTGACCAGAGAGACGAGGTCAGCCAGCATCTCCAGTAGCCCAGAGAGAGTGACTCAGATCATGCTAATAAGCACCTTGCTCAAGACTGGGTGCCTGGATCAAAGCCCCTATGCACAAGTTCCAAGTTTCTTTCTCTGCATGATTACAGCTTAGCACCGTGCTGGTGGTGGGTAAGTTACCAATAAGTCTATATTTCCTTGTCCTTGAGTCCCTTCCCAGGCAAAACAAGGGCAAGGCCTGCTCAGTGGAAAGTTTTACAATCTAACACATGTCAGTCCTACAGCGAGATCGAGAAAGAGAAAAGAGCTTCAAGCTCCATCAATCCAGAGTAACAGGTTATTGAGATGGGGACCATTTGCTGATGGGAACAAGGAGGCATTGGAAACAGTTTATACACCTCTTCTCTGGTCATTCACTTGATGAAAGGTTTTGCATTCTACTTGGACCAAATTATAGAAACAAAAGAATGAAAATAACAACCAGGTATGGTGGCACACAGCTGTAAACCCAGAACTTCGGGGGGCTGAGGCAGGAGGATTGCAGAGTCAAGCCCAGCCTAGACTATTAGTGAGATCCTGTCCCAAAAAATAAAAAAGGGCTGAGGACGTAGCTCAGAGTGAAGGCCCTGGGTTCAGTGTACATAAATGGCTGGTTAGCAAATCTACTGGAACTTGGTAGGGATGTAGGTCCTCTCTCCAGGCTGTCTCACAGAAGGGCTACCCAAATACAGTTCGCAAAAACCCAGAGTCCCAAGCACACTGTTAACGACAAGGGATCAACACGGGACACATGATGAGAACTGCAGAATAGACAGAATCGGAAAAGATGTCTCCGGAACAACAGCACTGGAGGGGAGGCTGCCAGAGTAGACGCAGCTCCCAGGGGTAGAAATGAGGTGAGAAAACACTGAGCGAAGTCAGCAGGGAAGGCCATACTCGGCAGAGCGGGGCCACTTACCAACAGCAGTAACTAAGCATTTCTGATGAGGGGCCAATCCGATCATCACAAAACAAATGCACGTTTTAAAATGTGCTGTGGTACCAGTGTCTCTGACAGCGGCTAGATGCTGAGTGACAGCACGGAGTTTACTTAGGAAACTTCCGGCAGGCATTCGAAGCTTTTGAGCAGGATAGAAGGAGGGTTTGAGTTTTACTTTCAGATACTCATACAATAGACAAAGAATGCATGCAGGAGCCATTTGCCAACGGCGGGATGGAGACCCATAGGGAGTGAGGAGGGCAGGGGAACAGAGGCCCGCGAGCCTACAGCCTGGCGCCCAATCAGTATGGGCTGAAGAGGATCCACAGCCGCTCCTGGGAACGCTGTTGGCAGCGCGCAGGGCCCAGATTCAGAGACCTCGTGCATTTCCTCTCTGCGCAGATGGGTCATGAGCAGTGGCCAGGCCTCAGGCCTGGCAACCTGAGGGTCCTATGAGGCGTGACTGTGCCACGGCAGATGTTAACCGGCCCGCAATGGGGTGAACGCCCTAGCTTTCCTGGAGCCAAACAGAAACTGGGACGTTACTGGCTAGCCAACAGCATGACATCTTTGAAATGGACTTGGAAATTCTTCCCCAAATTATAAAAAAGTTACAAAATGATTTCTGAAGAAAAATCCATGCTAAATTGCTGACATTACTCATTTCCTGGATTTGTAATTCATTCCCCAGCCCGGGGTGCGTGGCCTAAAGGTCCCTGATGGCCCTTCGGCCTCTGCCGTCCCTGGAGCACTGTCCCAAGTTCAGTGGCCTCAGCCTCCCTCTCTGGCAGCTCTCGGCGTGTGGGCAAACAGCCTGACGGAGACGAGCTTCAGTCCTCGTCCCGCAGCCCTCAGCCTCGTCTAGAAGAAAAGGAAACGCAGAACCTTCTACACTGCAGATGTTCTGTTTCCAAACCATGGCTTCCCTGTTGTGATCCTCATTCCTTCTCATCTTTAACCAGTTCCGCTTACAAGTTTCTGACACTTGGAACTCAGTGTCACTAGTGCAGTCGGCTTGCTACAGACATAAACCCCCGCATTGATGCACACACACGTGCACACGCAGATCCTGCGTCACTTCACCCTTCCGCTTGTGTCTTGTGAGTGAAACATTTAAGAGAAACCGGCCTTCCTCACCTGACCCACAGACGGGTCTACTAATAACGCTGGTCACTATGGACAACATCTGCCCACGTTTCCCCCGCTTATGCCTATGAGGGAAGGTGAGTGGTGTAGAAAGTAGGCTTTCATGATCGCCCAGGCATAGTAATAGCCCCCAGGGACTCGGTTCATTTGTTTTCATAAAGAGTTTGAGCAGGCTGGGGATTTAGCTCAGTGGCCCATGCCTGCCTTGCAAGCACAAGATCCTGAGTTTGATCCCCAGTACCACAAAAGCGAAAGAGGAAAAAAAAAAAGAGCTTGAGCATCTATGGAAGGCAAACCTCAGTCAGTCAGGCAATGCCCCTACTGAGTCCAACAGTCATGAACTTAAGCCATATCTGCATTTCATAAAATCCCTTCACTCTTTCTAGGGACACCTCACTTTTCCCATTCTCTTGGGATCTTTTTTTCAAATTTTTATTCTATTAGCGCCTGTGTGTAGTACATAATGTTCACATTCCTTGGGAGAAGTTGGTCCATGTATAAAACACACCCCAGTTCCTCTTTACATCCCATATCCTGCCCTCCCTCCCCATCCACCCTTTGATCCCTTTGCTTTTTTCTGTCCATGCTTATAGACCACATCCACATCCTGTGTGGGGTGGTACATGCAATAACACATCCCAGTTCCTTATTCAGCACAAGGTCCCGAGTTCAATCCCCAGTACCAAAAAAAAAAAAAGAGAAACCATGTGACATTTAAGTTTGTGTATTTAATATTATGGTCTCAAGGTGCACTCATTTTCCTACAAATGACTCAAAAGTATCCTCCTTTATGGCAAAGTGGTCTCTACTGCGTGTAAATACCACATTTTACTTGTCCACTCATCTGTTGATGGACATACAGGCTGCTTCCAGGATTTGGCTTTTATGAACTGTGCTGCTATAAACATGGGTGTGCATGAATCACTGTAATATGCTTATATTAACTCTTGGGAAGGCACCTAGGAGGGGATAGCTGGGTCAAATGGAATTTCTAGTTTTAGTTTTTTGAGGAATCTCCACACAGATTGCCATAATGCCTGTACTAGCTTATACTCCCACCAACAGTATAGAAAGATTCCTTTCTCCCCACAGCCTTGCCAGCATTTGTTATTTGATTTCTTTTTTTCTTTTTGTACCAGGGATGGAACTCGGGTCCTTACACTTGCAAGGCAGACAGTGGAACTACTGAGCTAAATCCCCAGCCCTGGTATTTGATTTCTTAATGGTGGCCATTCTTTCTGGGATAAGATGGAATCTCAGTGTTGTTTTAATTCGCATTTCTCTGATGACTGGCAGTGTGGAGCATATCTACATGTATTTACTGACCACTTGTACTTCTGAGAAGTGTATCCTCATTTCACTTGCATATTTTTTGATTAGGCCTTTCATTTGGGGATCTAAACTTTTTTGGAGTTCTTTATATATTCTAGATATGAGTCCTCTATTTGAGGAATCTCTGGCAAAAAAATTTTTTTCCATTCTGTAGGTTGTCATTTTACTGTGTTGGTTGTTTCTCTTGCTGTGCAAAAGCTTTTTATTTTGATACGTGTTGGGATTGTTGAAAACCACCCATTCCCAAGAGAGCAGACATCTGGCCTCTGAGCAGATGTCTTCATCATGCTAGCCGTGAAAGAATAAATTTACAGTGGGTGATGCTGAGAAAGCTAGAAAGTCTTTGTTCAAAGTGTGTCCAGGGCCACTGGTGGGGGGATGACAGGGGCAGCACCAGATCTGTGCAGGCAGAGGACAGGTCCGGCTGCTGGATTCCCGTCCACAGATGCCAATAGGAATGGGTATTGCCCTGGTGAGGGGACAGTGACGGGGGCTGGGAGGAGCCCACAGACACCTGCTGGAACTGTGGCGTCTTGGCATGAGCAAGGATGGAGAGAGGGCAGCCCAAGTAGCTCACTCTTCAAAGCCACGAATGGCTAAACATCACTGCATTTTCCATTACAAAACAGACATCTCTCATGGCTCTTTATGTGTGCTGTAACTTCATGAATCGCATATACCAGAATTCAGAGAGTGAATGACAGATTATTTTTGTTGGAAGTCCTGATTTAAATAAAATTGGCTTGTAGTTAAATGAATAGAATCTTTTTACAAATTTTGATAGTAATGTCAGTTGAGTAGATCCCGCTTTCCGTTCTGAAGATACAGTTGGAATTGATTAGTAATGTTCCACTTTTCACAAGGATGGGGAGGACATCTCAAACCTTATCAGGGAGTGGCTTTATATTTAGGTCATATAACTGGTCATGTGACTGTGTTCTAAAACCTGGCGAAGCTTTATTGTCTCAGAGCAAAACAAGAGCCACCCACGTTCCAATGCCTGTCAAAGGCAACGGTTGAAGATAAAGAGGCAATGTCTATTTTATATTTACATTTTAGCTATTGCAATTTAATTAGAATTCCTGTATCTAAAATGCTGCCTTTCACTTACTGAAAGGCATGTTAGTGTGATGCATTCATAACACCAAATAAAGAAAATTTAACACTTCTCACGTTTTATCTGTAAGTCCGGATGCCTTTAAAAGTCAGCATCACACAACAGCAAATTACTTCTTTGCTAAGTCAGACTAAGTTATGATTCAGGATAGACTTTAAACAGCAATTCAGAACAAACCTGAGAAGCTCTACTGTTGCTCATGTGATTGGTAGTGGTGCTTCTTGTTAGCTCATCAGATTAAACTGGAGAATCACAAATTTGTGAATTTTGAAACCATACAATTTAAGATAATTGAAAACAAAATCAAAAATCATGAAAAAATAAGTAAAACAAAACTATATATACACATTCCCTTCATGAAGGTGACTTTGATGAGATATTAGTTTGTACTTCTCAGAGTAGCTGTTACAAAAATACCCTAACTGATATATATTTGTTTAGTGAAAGCTGGCAAAAAGTTGAACATTCATTAGAACTTATATATAACAATCATGCAAATACTGGGAACCAATGCTCAATATTCAATGAGGGTGTCAAGCACACACAAAGGAGGGCCAGGGATTTTAGCTCAGTGGTGCCAAGCCTGCCTGACAAGTTGCACGGTCCTGAGCTCGATCCTCGGTACCAAAAAACACACAAAAGACTACACAAAGGAGAAAGGATCATCTCTTTGAAAAATAGTTCTAGGAAAATTAGATACCCACACGGAAATGAATGAAATGGCACATTTATCTTCACCGTAGTCAAAAGCAACTCAAAATGGGTTAAAAACCTAGTTCTAAGACCTAAAACCATAAAACTCCTAAAAGAAAACCTAAGAATTTTCATGACATTGTTTTTGGCATTTTTTTTCTTGAATGTTACATCAAAATCATAAGTAACAAAAGCAAAAATATACAAGTGAACTACATCAAACTGAAACACTTCTGCACAGCAAGGGAAGTAAGAGCAAAAAGGCAGCCTACAAAATGGGAGAAGATGTTTTCACATGTGTCTGGAATGTGTTAATATCTAGAACATATATATATTTATTTAAAACAAACTCTATAGCAAGGCAACAATCCAATGAAAAAAACGGAGGACTTGAATAGATATTTTTCCAAAGGAGACAATAAATGGCCAACAATTCTATGAAAAGATGCTCAGTACCAATCATCAGCAAAATGCAAATGATAACTACAGTGAGGGATTTCCTCACCCCTCTCAGAGAAGCTATAAGACAAAAATAAGTTTGGATAAGAATGGGGGAAAACTGGAACCCTTATATGCTGTTGATGGGAATATAAAATGGTGGGGCCACTGTGAAAACCAGTATGAAATTCCTCAAAAAGTATTAAAAATACAATTACCATATGATCCAGTAATTCCACTTTTGAGCATATAGCCAAAAGAATTGAAATGGGGATTTTCCAGAGAACTATGCATTCTTGTGTTCATTCCAGCCTTATTCACAACAGCCAAGATATACAAACAACATAAATGTCCACCGCAGATGAATGCATAAAGAAAAAGTAGAATATACATACAAAGGAATATTACTTAGCCTTTAAAAAGGAAATTCTGCCAAAGTGAACAACACGGATGAACCTGGAGGCCATCATGCCAGGTGAAATAAGCCAGTTACATAAGGGCAGGTACTGCATGATTTCTACTTATTTATATGAAGTATCTGAAATAGTTAAACTCAGAAATAGAACAGAAAGAGGTTGCCAGGGGCTGGGGAAAGGGCAAAGGTGGGATGTTGCTGATCAGCCCCTATAAAAAGTTTTGGATACACAAGATGATAGAGTTCTAGAAATCTACTACACAACATGGTGCCTACAGTTAATGTAGTGTGCACTCAAAAATGTATCAAGAGGGTAGGTCTTATGTTAAAAACTCTTGCTGTAAAATAATAACACAAGGCGGATGGTTTACAGCACTGACTCAGTCGTGTCTCGAAATCCAGGGGAGATTTTTAGCTTTCAAGCACCTGAGAATGAGCTCATTTCCCAGCAAAACGAGACCCACTTCCTCCTCAGCATCACCTTCAGACACCTGATCAGACAAACTAGACCTGGAGACATCAGAGAAAGGGCTCTCGGATGAGCCCCACTGGTGCAACACTGTCGGGGCCCTGACGATCACGGTCAAGAGTCATCACTGGGTCAGGTGTGGGCAGTGGAGACCAAGCTCAAGGCCACACCCAGGGCCACCATGCAGTTCATAACGTGCTAACAGCCGGGGTCCGCATGAAGTAGCAAGAGCAGATCTGTGACAGTGAGGGACCAAGACTTACCGGGAGGCAGAGGTAAAAACAAACTGCTGGTCGCTTCCAAGATCCTGGTCATGAGGTGAAAGACTGCAAATTCAGCAGCGCTGCCACGGCCGTCACTGGGTAAAAACGACAAAGTGGCACGTCAGTCGTTTGTCCCAAGCAGTGGCCCGAGCTGTGCACACACAGACTCGTCTGTCATTACATGCTGTGGCCTAGAGAAAGCCACCTGAATGTGGCAGTGACCGTCAGCCCAAGGCCCAGAACCTGCGGACAGCAGCCTTGTAGGTTGGAAACTGTTAACTGAAATTCCGCCGGGCAGTGCTGGGCTCCTGTGTTGAGTCTGTCACCCATGTGCCAGGGTAGAGGGCGGCTGAGCATAAGGTTGCAACAGGCAGTGCTGCTGCTGGTGAGAATCATTTGAACCAGGACATTTCTAGGGCTTTGCTAGAACAGCATTGCTGGCTCTTTGTACCCCATAATAAAGGACAGTGGAAAATACTTGCGTACAGTCGGAGAGCCCAAGAGTCGAGATTGTGCTTCCTCCAACTGGTTTCCAGTATGCAGCAAATGAGGTGCAGCTGCAGGGGAAAGACAGTCTGTAAACTGCTGCCCACCCGCCTCCTGCACGGCCCCTCCAGCTGGCTGTGCCCAGAAACACAACTGCCCTTTCTGAGGTCAGCCAGCAGCACCAGAGTCCAGAGTGGGAAGACGGAAAATGTGCCTGGAGCTTAACAGAGTACACTCTGTCTGCTGGGCTGCTGACTCCAGCTCCCCTCTGCAGACCCGCACCCATCAGGAGGCCAACGCCAGGGCTGCTACGATGCAAGGGCCAAGAGCAGGCAGCAGACAGAGCCCACGCTCGGAGTAAGGGTGATGTCAAGTCCGGCTTCTGGGCTTCCCTAGTCATGTGACCCTCTCAAGGTACCGATCTCCCCAAACCTCAGTGTCCTCAGCTGCCAAATGAGGGAGGGTCCTGGATGGGGCTGCCTGAGAGAACTCGAGCACACTGCTCGGAACTAGGGGCTCAGCCCATCATCACAGAGATCGACCCAAGGAGGTGGCTTTCCCTGCCTCAGAGCTGCTTTCAGAAGCCCATTGTGATCCCCACCCTCTCTCAGCTGCTCAGAAGTCTCTGCCAAGCTATGGGCCCTGAATCCACGCACTGCACCTACGGGCCGAGAATGGAGCAGAGCAGAACGGGTCCCCCGGTGCGCAGGGGACACCATCCTCAGGCTCGGGAGCAGCTTCCTGGCGTGTATTTTAGCGTACACCCAGCCACATCTCCCACTCCCGTGCTGCTGAACAGGTCAGAGGGCCTCAGTCAGGGACACTGGGTTCTGAGCCTACACATGTATCATATCTGTGCCTAGTCACTCCAGGTGCTGTTCACACAGACCAGTGCTGAAATGCTGATGGAGCCAGGTACTCCGCGAGGCTGAAGCAAGAAGATCACAAGTTTAAACCTAGCCCGGACATCTTAGTGACTCAGTGAGACCCTATCTCAAAATTTTTAAGTCTTCAAAAAGGGTTGGGGATAATATAGCTCAGCGTAGAAGCCTTGGGTTCAATCCCTCGTACACCACCAAAGAGCAAAAGAAAATGACAGAGAAGAATGCTGCTTGAAAGAAAATCATTCTTGATGCTTTGAAAGGTGAAATTTTTTTTTTCAGTTTTCCGACAATCTTTTTACTTTGACAAAGAATGTAACAATCTTTCCAAAGAGTAAACAATTTCTAAGTGTTAGCACCTTTGGTTAGAACAGGCTGGGAGGTGGTTACAGAACAACTCACACTCCTCAAAAATTAAAACTGGAAACTCCATTTGATCCAGACCTTCTAGAAATCTTGCCAAAAGAGGTAATGACATTATATTACAGTGATGCATGCATGACCGTGTTTACAGCAGCACAACTCATAATTGCTAAATCTTGGAGGGATCCTGAGTGTCCATCAACAGATGAAGGGGTAAAGAAAATGTGGTATTTACACATAATGGAGTACCTCTACCATA